ACGGCCCCATTAATACGATGGGCAACCAGGCCTGCGAAACTTGTTATCTCTCAGCAACTCAATCAGGGCCGCGATTTGGCCGCGACACAAACGAAAGTGGAGCCGGACAGCTTGAGGGGTCCATATACCAGGTAAGCAATGTCAATCGTTTGACATGATCAAATTCGTTGGCCAAGTCAAGTCTTTACGGTGGGGAAACCTTTGGTTTATAATACTCTGTGCTTCCTAGAAGCTAGGAGTCAATAGTTTATCTGGTCGCACTCACGCTCGCGCCTTGAATCACCGCAGTACAAGTAGTCCCATTTATGCCTTCGAGCAGCCCAGAAAAAACACCATCAAATTATGTATGTTCATTCATCTACACATCCACATCCACATCTCCGTCCCGCCAACTCTCTGACATCGACATCATCTAGCGAATCGAACGTCGAATACCCGAATCTAATCATCAAAACGTCAACATACACACCCAAAAAACAGAAGAAAAGGGGGGTATTCCATACCGACATCAATTCTTGCAACACTTCCAGCATGGCTGGCCGCTCAAGAACGATTGACGCGCGGTCCATCCAGGGTTACAGTTTACCTTTGCGGATGTACAACCACCGCACTGTGTGATAGCGTCTGCTTGGGCAGAGACTGCGACTGGGGCGAGCGGGGCGAGGAGGAGCATGGCGGTCAAGCTGAACTTCATGTTCTTGTGATTTGACTTTTAAGACTGAGGTGAATGAGTCTGAGTTGTGTTTGGTGAAGTGAAGCGATGCTGTTTTCGAACTGAAAGTCTGCATACCCTTTTATACAAAATTTGCCTCAGAGGCATTGTCAAGCCATAAGTACTGCGATACTTGGTCCTTGGAAACGAAGAAGTTGCTCAGATGCATAGCCCGTTACCCCGCACCCGTTAGAAGTCTTCGGAGGGCACGCTCAGACTTGACTTCTTCAGCCTCTAACGTTTCATCAGTACTGCGCCATGTTGGGCTTCGAGGGCCGGGGTGCGAAAATATTGTTTACCCGGGAGTCGGGACAATTTCGGGATACTGGTCTAGTGTACAAGTTGGTGGAACCTCTCACGAACTCGGTGCGGTCGGCACCCTCCGCAATTTATTATCGCGTTGCGACGACTCGTAGTGCCGGCCTCCATACAAGTTCAGATTCTGGGGCTCCCCGCCAGCGGTTACAAATTCGTAAAACATTTAACGTCTTCTTAAGAGCCCCGACTTTCCACGGGGCAACGTGTAAGTGATGGTTGCCGTTAAATACACCCCAAATTCATGACTCACTGGCACAATTTAACCTTCCAGTCATGTCAAGGACATATTCCACGTAGGAGATTTTCTCTAGAGAAAATTCAGCTCTAGTTATAAATCCAATCAAATTCTCAAAAGTTTATGAAGCATAAAGAAACCAATCCGGAGCGCGACTAACTTTATTAAGACCTATGTCGGCCGAGGGGGCCTAGCCTCCCAGCAGTGACCGCCAAATTCTTGGGCTTGATATGTTGGGAAATATTCCCCTTCGGGCATAGTATTGCTGAATGCTGAAAATAATATGTGTATTGAGCAGAGTCGTCGCCAGAGCAAATGAGATATTTCAACACCGCTTACTCGTGATGATACTTCAAGATTCCTCAGTGAGCGCTACACCCCTCTGCTTTCCTTTCACCGCTTTTTAGACCACCCCTTGGTCCCTCTCCTCTTACAACCCATCAGCATGATAATGCCGTCGAATCCCTCCTGAAACTGGAGTGCTAAGTACCTGCAAGGCTGCAATGCAAACCAAGACCTTCAGCGGCCTCCTGACTCTCTGCAGTAAGTCGATCGGACATTCGTCACCGCCTCGATAGCTCAACGCTCTTTCTCTTTATTTCGGTAGTGACGGTCCTCACGTCTTCCCCTTTGCTCTCAATTTAAGCAACGAGATTCGCAAGGTGCGTAGCAGTCGTGTGGTCGTTCCTTTCTTCGGCTTTGAATAACTACCAGTCGTTCAAGAATCAACGCATCGAAAGGAAATTGTAAACCCTAGGCCTCATCAATGGGTGCTGTTTCTCCCTACCATCCTCTGACGAAGATACCCTGGAGGGCATTCCATCCCCAGCGTACGCCCATGTCGCGTTGTTAATGAGCATATTGAACATGTTGATCGCCAATTCGCAGTTTTGGAGTGTTTTGGATGAGAGACGTTCCAACTTCCATATTGCGAAGATACCGTGACTCCAGACATGATATTTCGAATGAAAACTTCCAACGTCGGCGAGTTACGTAGTGCATTGTCGTAGGAGGGACCCAAAATGAGAACGTTAAGTACAGCGGATAGAACCTTGCGCCAGGCGAAACTGCCGAGGACATCTGAGATATGGAAATTCCGGCAGTCCGGTAGTCTCTCCTAGACAGCTTCGATATGATGTGAAGTCGTACCTTGGTTCACGATCATATGAAGTCTGTTGTTTGTCGCGCCCCAAAAACCGTGTCAGGAAATCTTTATGTAATCTTCGGACTCTGAAATCACGGTCCGACCTCGTCGCGTCGATATTGGTCTGCTCCCTTCACGCCCTGACGCGTTTTGAATACATTCTTCCCTTTATGCATCCTGAACATTGACTTTTTGGCTTTTAGAATTACTTCGAACGTGTTATGAACACGAAATTATGGCCAAACCCCGCTGGCAGGACCCTCTAGGGCTGGAAACCATCAACACCATCGTCAAAAAGATTATACCACTGTGGACGAGCGGGCTACATACGGTTCAGCTCAACCTCGTTTCAGCTATCCTTGATGGACAAGATGTTCTCTGCTGCACCGCAACTGGAGATGGGAAGTCGGCAGCCTTTTCCATTCCATGTCTCGTGCTTTCAGAGTACAACCAGCACCCCGAGTCCTATCCCGCCAATCTGCCCACCCGTTCAAGGCCAATTGGCGTCGTGGTCACACCGACAAAAGGACTAGCCAGCAATATTGTTTGTTTCCCTTCTTTGTACACGTTCTCTCACTAACAATGTTCTAGGTGACCGAACTTTCGAAACTCAACGTGTCTGCTTTCTCATATTGCCATGAAACTCTCAGCAACGCGCGAAAGAGTGGAGTTCGTTTGGCACGAGAGATCATGGAATGTGTTAGGTGGCAGGTCATATGTGTGGATCCGGAGCATCTGCGCGACAAGGAATGGAGAGAGATCACCGAGAGCCCGACTTTTCGATCCAATGTCGTGTTCGCTTGCATCGATGAAGTCCACCTGATCAACGAATGGGGACTTTCATTCCGTCCAGCATTTGCAGCCATTGGAGCCTTCTTCCGTGGACGCTTTCCGGCGTCGATAGCTGTTGTTGGCCTCAGTGCGACACTAGAACCTGGGGCCCCAACAACGTCTGTTTGCAAAAGCCTGGGTTTCTTTGAAGGCAACTTCCTCCTCATCCGGCGATCCAACGAGCGCCCAAATACACAGTTCAGTGTTCAGTTTGTCGCTCATGGACTGAACGGCGACAAATTCCCTGATCTACTTCCGTACATGAACAGTGGAAGGAAGACCATCATTCACTGTCGAACACTCGATCAGGTCTTCCGCGTATACGCTTACATTTGGCGGCTTCAACCAGAAGGTGCCAATAAACTTGTCCGAGCACGACTTTACCACAGTATATGTCCTCCAGAATACAACGAGGAGACGATGCAGCTTATCGACATTGATCCGAGTTGCCAATTTATCATCGCTACCGTCGCATTTTCAAACGGCCTCAATGCGAAATCTCTTCTTGACAGTCTCTCACTTGGATTTGCGACGACATTTGACGAATCGTGGCAAGAGAAGGGGCGTGTTGGAAGGAATCCAGAAACAATTGGGCGGGGCATTATATTTTCACACCGCGGTGTTATCACAGAAGCTGAATCGTACCTTGCATGTGAGTAGAATCGTTCTCGTGTCAACACAAGCACCATGACTCTAAGCCGTTTACAGCTCTTAATTCTCACACGCAAAATAACAATGTTTTGAAGAAGAAGAAGAAGAAAGTCTCTTGTGTTCTAGATCAATCAAAAGCTCTTATTATTGCCGAGAAACAATGCTACATCGCTCGCATCAACATCTGTTACGGAAATCCCCCTATAGAGACGTCTTCCTTAGACTGTCTGGCTTCTGGGCGTCGCTTACCCTGCTCGTTGTGTCTAGCACGGCAAGGGGGTGGGTCTCTTGTTTTTCCACCATCACCATTGCCCACCGGTTCGACCCAATTACCAGTCTTGACCGCACAGAAGGCCACCGCTCTCCAAAAATTGTCTTTGCCGAAGAAAGACAAGTTGACGAAGAAGGAACGAGCGATTGCTGAGAAACATCTGCTCAATTTTGGCGAGTCAATTCGGAAGCTAGAGCGATGGTCGAACATCCACAAGTATCGGGCTCGCACTTCCTATTTTCCCTCTCATATTGTATCATCGTTACTTGACAGGTTGCTCATTATCCATTTTCCATCTGATGTCGAACAGGTTCTCCATGGCGCATGGCATTATTACTCGACTCATGGAAGTGCTCTCTTCGACTCAATCATCGCGATTCAGGTAGTCATACTGGTCGAACGAAATCAAGCACGAGGAATCACGGGAGCTAAGCAACGTGAAAAACGAAAGGTCGCAAGGGTTACTGACTCCCAGGATGAAGATGTTAGTGGCCCCATCTTGTCCGACGCTGGGCCCTCCGAACAACCGATTGACAACCCTCTTCAAGAAGAACATGCAAATGTATCCTTGAGTCGAAAACGCCAAGCTCTGGAAGAAATAACTGTCAACGCAAAGCGCCAGCGAGCTCCCAGAGCGGCTCAACCTGGTGTTGCTGAAGTGTCAGAAAGCTATGGTCCTCGCTACCGCACACGCGCAGGTCGTCCCCCAGAAGCGTCAGCTGGAGGTGATGAAGGAAAAGAAAACAGAGGTCAAAGGGTATCAGCACGATTGAGAAAACGTTGAGTTCTGTAGTCGTTTAAAACATCATTTGATTGTACAACGGTTTAATTCAATGTTCTACTCAGAGTCGTATGCACCATTTCCTGTGTCATTGATATCATCACTTCCGTCTGAACAAAATCCATTCCCCAAACCATCATCTTCTTCGTCACTTGAGTTATCCTTGCCTTCTTGCTCATACCAAGCTTTGTGTGTCAACTGGTCGCTTGACAAATAAACATCATAGTCTGAGCCGCTAACGAGGTGATTATTGCTTGGATCTTCAGTGTCTTCATTTTCCGTTTCAGCGCTAGAAGAAGGAGTTGACGAGGATGCAGAATCTGACTTAGAACTGTCAGATACACTTTCAACGTCGCTGAGAGAATCGTCATTGCTAGGCTGCGAATGATCTTGCACTTCCAAATTGGAACTAGGTACGGCAGTCTCTTGGGCCTGTTTAGATGATTGAATATCAGCAATGATGTCTGCGTAGGCCGTTGTCTTGTTGATAAAGTCGTTAAGTTTTTTTTGCTGCAGTCGGTCATAACCTTGATTGAACTGGTTGACGGCCGCATGTCCTAGGGTTCGTCCAGCACAGAAGAGGTGCAAGTTCTCGTCTGCATATAAAGTAAGTAGCAATCGAAGTTCATCCCTCAAATGAGGGGAGGTGTGTGTCTTGCCACGGCGTTCGAGTTGAAAAGCTTTCTCGACCTCTTCCTTTATTCGCAAGAAATGGTCGACATTTGGTGAGAGAGTTTGACGATAGAAATTATCGTCGAAGTCGCCACCTCTTTTCTTGACCATATCCTCAAGCCAACGATTGTAATGCTCTTGCAGCAAATCTCCTTCAATCCACTTTCCAAGCTCGCCAGTAACATTCACAAGCCAGTTATTGAGGATCGCGTCACGAAGGTCTCTAGATGCCTCATACCGCAGGAGACAGTAGACTTCCAGTAGGTACGTCATATAGTTGTGGTGAGACGATCCTGCAAATGTGAATATCCAGATCTATAAACAAATTTCCAGCTGAATGAGCTGATTTTTGAAGAAGATCATGATTGGTTTGTCACCTTCAAAATCTCGAAAACACGTCCTATATCACCCTCTGAAACAGCATAGGCAATTTCGATCCACCAGCCAAAATCTTGAAGAAAGAGAACGCTGTTTGCAAGGACACGGTCGCCGTCAAAGTCGTCGGCCTCTTTATGAACCTTGGGTACGTCCTCATTTGGGAGAAGAGGGACCGGTGCTGAATTTGTAGAGCCAGTAGATTGATTTGTCCATGCTGGCCCGAATAAAATTTTCATAGGCTCAGGCGCGTCGCTTGATTCGGCCTTAGATAGAGCTTGATCATAAGCATCCTGAGACGCGTATCGATCGATGAGAGAACCAGCTTGTTGTATCAATGTATCAAGAGACGGAAGCTCATTTCTACTTGTCAAAGACTTGAAGTGCGACAGGAGATCTGGCTTGGCACCATAATTTACCCTAATAGCGTTGCAAAAAGTTAATACCAAGAACGAAAATATTCGTGCAAAGTCACCTCCAACAATCGAGAACTTGTGCCTCCCAAATTAATGTCATACTTCTTACTGTGGGGTAATAGTCACAGCTACTCAGGTTGGTCGGACGTTTAAATCCAGCTGCGTTCGAGCTCCGGGACAGCGATGAGGGGTCTTTCGACGTTGGCGGTCCATAGTGATTTGTGGCGATTGAGTTAACCTTTGTGGCTTTTGCATGCCAGATTTCCGGTGTGGAGACGCGATTTCGAAAAGATTTATGATTGTCAGGAATAGGACACAGGTATTTCTGTAGTCGCAGGGTTGCAGCATATGAGGCACCGTCACCGCGAACCCAGAGAAGAAGTTTGTTTGATGCTTCAGGACCAATTCCCATCTGTTCGTCAAAGTCCAGGATCGCTCGCGCCATTCCCTGGGTCTCAGTCTCTCTCTCAGCGTTGGTTCCCAAAGGTTGTACTATTGTCTTCCGTCCGTCTCGCATGCGATGCTTGGCAACAGGAGGTGATCGAAACCGTGCAGAAACCTCTGAAGATAGAAACTTGAGCTCGGGAATGTAGTCAACTAGAACCCGAGCCCAGTGCAGTGCCTGTACTCTTCTTGAGTGAGGCCAGTCAATGTCGGCCACCAGAGTCTCGATGGTCATAGTCTTTCGTTCCTTCTGAGCAACACGTGAAAGATGACTTTCCAAGTCGAAAGCACCGGGTTTACAATCCTCCAAGCGTATTGCAGTTCCTGCGGTCCCTACCTTGAGTATACTTTCGCGGCCGATGCCTCCTTCGTAAACAGGGCAGTACTCTTGAACATTATCGAGGATTAGGCACCATTCCGTTTCTCCCCGCTTAGTCGCGTCATTGACAGCCTCCCGTAAAATAGAAAGGCTGGAACCAGTCATGGTGTCGAGAGCTTTACGGACTGTCGAGTCGCTTACGATATTTCCGAACCGACTGTATACGCGTTTGACATCGATGTGGGATTTGACTGCAAAGTGCCATATGCCCAAGGCCATCGCAAGGTCTCCGGTAGCAAAGTGGTTGCGTGCAAGTAAAAAGGAGCTGATAGCGCCCACTTGAATCTGTAGGAAAAGGTAAGCGAGGTCGAGATATTAGACTCCATTAAAATATATACAATCGGATGTGGCCGTTGCTTCTTTACCACCACAACACCATTCTTGCGAGAGGCAGCCATACATTCCGTGAGATGCCAAGCAACAGGTGCACGACTTTTGTATTTCTCCACAAGGGCCGCAATACTAAACCTTCCTAAAGCTTCCCAGGTGACGAGACTGATGCTATCCGTTGGACGCCGTCCATTCGTCGAAGCTCGGAGATGGACATCGTCATCCTTAGCCGCAAGTTCGTAGATCTCACGATGAACATGATTAGCGACGAGATTCGTCGCCCACGTGAACAAAGAAGGACGCGCATAAAAGAAGTCGGCAGGAGAGACTGATGGTGAGAACGGAGCATGACGTTCTGAAGCATGTGGTGAGCTCGGCGAAGGCGCGCTGTGCTTGTGCTTATAGACAAGAGTTATGATGTCTGAAATTTTGACCTTGTTCCGCCCTTGTAGAAACCGAGCAACAGACTTGGCGTGGCATACACCTCTTGGATCAGGCTGTCCAGAGACGCGGCTTGGGTTGTAGAACAAGATCTTCAGAAATTCGCCGAGAGAGTCAAAGCCAGAGTCCTTAAGCAACTGCTCCATCCGATCAAATTTCGATGCGAGCTTTTGCGCGTCGTCTTGTGGAGCTTCTATCAGTCGTGGTTGACTTGAGGATCCGCTTGGACAACGAAGCTCATTGAAAGGAGAGCCGAGAAGAGGCGACAACAGCTCGGGAGATGACGATTTCCCTGGCTCACTCGGATGTGAAAGGAGGAGGGAATTCGAGGTAGGGGGCAGAAAACGGGTGATATAATGCGGGGCTTCCGGCACCTCAACCAGGGGCGTTTTCTTATAAGTTCGGAGAGTTGTGACATCGTTTTCCATAGGAATTAATGTATCGAAGAAAAAAGAATAGAATTTGGATAGGAAGGGAGGACAATAGTGCTGTAAACACGTAAAAAGCCAAGAGGGAGCGTGCAGTTGTTGACGTGTTGTTGACGCGTAAGGGTTTCAAAGTCCGCAGATTACATAAACATTTCCTGACACGGTTTTTGGGGCGCGAAGAAAACAGGACTACCTTAGTTCCTAACTTCGCTCTTGACTAAAGATGTGAGTAATATTCGACGTTCGTTATGATCAAACTTGATACATTTATTTAGTTTTAGCGCCTCGAGTATCAAGTGTTTACAGCCCCTGTCTACAAAGCAACCATGTCCAAAAAACTTGTCCGATCATTCAACGCCCTCCCTCGAAAGCCTCTCTCTCCTTCCGGGCTAGTCTCAAACTCGTGGCACTTTGACATCCGCTACGTCCACCTAGAGCCTACCCCCTCGCACATCCTCTTCCTCATTCAAGATGCCTCCGAATTCTCACACATGGAGCGTCTCCCCATTGGCCCTCCAACGCTCAGCAGCAGCGTCGAGTTCTTCCCTGATACTCCAGAGGAAGCTGCACCAGAGGTTGCCAAGGCACTAATTCACGCGTTCGTCAATTGCTTTGGCGGCCAAGTACCCCAGGCAATCGTTCCGTGGAATCTGACGACGGAGGATAAGAACCTTGCAGCTGCTGTCGGTGCCGAGTTCAAGAAATTAGGAGTGGCTTATGAGGCGCTACATAGGGTTGGTGTGTCCACGAAGGGCGTTAATGATCGTACCCAAGAGGTGTTCCATCGACTTTTTACGGCTTTGAAGAAAGCGACGGGCTTCGAGGATCATATTGCAATTTTCATCTCGACGCCTACGTCTATTATCTTTCTACCACCCCCTGCTCAGAGTCCTCGCAGGGACCAGGAAGGCGATTTCGAGCTGGCGTTGAAGTACGTGCAGGAATTGCAGAGGTGTCGGCCACCTGTTGAACACGACATCTCGGATCCCAAGGAACATGTTGAGAAACTCACGCTGGAGATGGACATTATTCAGCGACTTATTAAAGAAAAACCCGAACACATCGTCAAATCCGAAGCTGATAATGGCAATCCAGATTCAGCGTTAGATTACGGATTACGGTTCGTTTACCTTGTTCACTTACCTATTTGTTTCTCCACTGACCTCACCAAACTCGAAAAGCCTCCAATTCGGTTTCGGCGCCCCAAGGAACCGTGCCCAATCCCGCAAATACTTTTTCAAAGCTCTCCTCTCCCCAAGCGCCTCTGACATCCTCAAATCTACAATCCACTCCCTCCTCATCATTTGGCACATGGACTCCTCGGACACCAAACTTCGCTTGCGGCACCTCTATGCAGCAGCGCACCACGCTAACCTATCCACCTCCCTTTGTCGTTCCCTCCTCCCCTCCCCAAGCCCCAGTGCATTGCCTGCATCGCCAGCTGCGTTGTTCTTCATGAAAACGACACTTGAGCCGCACTCGAAGAATGCCCCGGAGGTATGTCTCTTTTGGAAGGTGTGTTGGAAGGCTTGGGAGGATAGGAAGAGGCAGGTGGAGGGTGAGATGGGGAAGATGGATGAGAAGAGGATGAGGAGGCCGAATAGGTATCGGTGTGCGGCTGTTGGATGCGAGATTGAGGCTGATAAGGGACAGATGTTGCTTCAATGTACGTTCGTCCGTTTTCTTGTCTCCCTCCTCCTACTTTCTCTTTTTCTTTTTTGGGGACGACTAACGTTAATTTTCAATTCCTCGGACAGGTTCAGGAAAATGTGACTCTGACAAAAAACCAAGCTACTGTGGGAAAGAATGTCAGCGCGCAGACTGGAAGAACCATAAGCCATTTTGTCGACCTGGCGCCGCGTGTTCTGTTATTGACACCGGGACCTTCAGTCACGGGACGACGAAGCCGAATGCTCTGCAGATACCGATTACGGTGCCGGGTGGGAAGACGGTGTTGGTGAGTTCGTCGACGATGGATGCGAAGGAGTTGAAGGAGCTTAAGGGGGGTGCAGAGGGCATGTCGGGTGGAGGGCAGACAAGCATGTCGATGGTGAATTCGTTGACGGTTGAGATGGTCAAGTTGGATGGTGGTGATGAGGAGGAAGAAGAGAAGGAGACTGAAATTGATTAGTGCGGACATATGTAGGAGTCGAGAAGCGTTGTATCACGCTGGACGTGGTCTTTTGAAATGGGACGGCAGGATTTTCTGCCAGTAGCCATAAAATATTTTCAGCTCATGCTAACGAACGTTGGGCTACTACTTGCATCAATTGCTTTTATTTGGTCACCCCTTTCATGATCAAATAGGAAAACATTCAGAAAGGCTCTCCGAGTCGCACGAATGTATACGTATTCATAACTGACATTTAAAAAGGAACGACTCGACAGGGCTGCGGCCAAGTGTCCAGTAGATCGTTATGTGCATAAAATGCATTTATTTGTGGACTATGGTAAGTTCGAGTATGGTGAATGGCTAACATTACCACCTTTCACGCGGTAGCTCGGGGTTCGATTCCCCATACTCGAAATTTCCATATACAATGGAAGCAGAATTTTCCAGTATAAATTTTGCAATGAGATGTAAGTACTCGAGTACAAGCAAGAAAAGATTGATCATGTGGCATTCTTACGCATGCGTGAACTTGGCGAGATCACTTTAACTCATACTAACCCATATCGTCAATGACGCCAAGTAGAGCGAAAGATTATCGATTACCAGTTATCAACACACCTAAAGCCTGCATATCTATCCACGGAAGTACAACAAATGCAAAAACGAACCTCCGTGTACGCCACACCTCGACGAAAACTAAGCCAACACACCCACCCACCTCCAATACCCCACACTCGCCCTAACTCCTCCTCATTCCCTCCAACAAATCCCTAAACGCCGCCGAATCCCTCCCCGTCCCATCCATATAAAACCCAACCAACCCAACCCCCAACCTCCCAAATTCCTCTTCCAGGAGCCTCATGTTCGGGGTAGCTGGCAGGACTTGCTCACTATTCCGAACGCAGGCTACCCATTGTTGCCATGTTGGAATGGTATCAGGGGAAGCGGAGTGGCGGTACCGTTGAGGAGAGAGGCGAGGGTGTGGGTTATGTGGGGCCAGGGGCGTCGTATTGGGTTCTCGAGGTGATAGATTAGTTTGAAGAATGGCGATAATAAGAGGTCGATGAGGATTTCACTTGCGCGGTCGACGGGGAGCCATGAGGCTGTCTACCACACGAAAACATCCCATCAGACGGGACAAAAAGGAGTAAGGAAAGACTCACCCACCGCAAATCAGGCACGACCCCCAAACCCTGCAAAGTCCAGTCCTCACCATCAACGGAACATGCTCCCATTCATTCCACGCTTCTTTATCTATCGTGCCTGTAATTTGTCCGAGACGTACGACGGAAGCGCGTACTGCCGACCCATAGAGCTGATTCACGCTCTCAAGAAGTCGTCCACAGACCCATTTCGCTTGTGCGTAGCCGAATGGCGCGGGATGCGTTGCGTCTAGTGGGATTTCTGGTACTTGGACGATGGGGGGGGATCTGCGACGATGAAGAGGGGGAGAAAGCGAAAGTGGAGGAAGAAGGAGGATAGCGACTTGCACTGCGATCAAAGAAGTGAAAATTATCCTTATCGTTCCTGTGTTTAAAAGGGCCAGTCGGATGAGGTAACACAGTCCCTTTAGGTGCGGCTCGAATGAAGAGAGGCGGAGGTTAAAGTTCACGGGCCAGGCGTTATGTATGATGTGCGTTACGCCCTGCAACTGGTACACCGTCTTCATTAACCTGGAGAAAGAGAGAAAAAAACGAACGTACCTCATCCAACTCCCGCTGCCCAAGCCCGAAATCCACTATTGTCAAATCGGCCTCAAGGAGCCCAATCATCCAGGCTAACACCCCCTCCGCGCCTTTCCAGTGCCTCTTTTTTGCGCTGGAGCTTTGGCCAACTGAGCAAGGAGGAAACATCCTAGGTTTCCTGTTGACCCAGTTAGCAAAACAAGAGAGGATGGGAAGCCTTGGGGTGGCGACGGCGATTCATCAGCACCTGCACCAGCCCCGTTCTTGCTGGTTGGAAGCAAAGAGGCGTAGCTGCTCAAACCGATGAGCAGACGTGAAGAGGAGCAAGAACGCGTGGGAGTGGTATATCGCTTTTGGAAGCCCGGTGGTCCGTGATGAGTGGAGTGTGAGTGCGTCGAGATCTGTGGGGAGGTGGTCTTCCTATGGCGGTGGAACTGCCAGCGATCGCGGGGAGTCGGGTGTGGGGGAACCTGGGAGGAGGAAAGTGGGGTAGGAAGGAGAAGTGACGAGACGGGGTGGGGGAAAGTGGGAGGTTGAAGGAAGAAGAGAAAGTGCTTTACGGGCGACGAGGGACGTTTTTGGGGATATGAGAATGCAAGTGGGGGATGTTTATTTATTTAGGTGTGCCACTGATGTGGGACTGAGGCGGGCGGAGAGGAAGAGAGCCTATTTTTTTTGATAGTCATTTAGTAAACGGATTCAATACGAGAGAAGAAAAGAAAACCCACCCGCACATCAATATTCAATATCAATCCTCAAGAACGCAACCAAATACACAAACAACCCCACGTCACTCGCCAAAAGCATCGCTACGCATCCTACTTTCTCTTCCCTCCTCCCCTTGCCTGTGGTCGTACCTGATCAGACGAGCCAGGCCGACGCACGTTCCACCATCCCCCCGAGCTGCGCAAATGGAGGTTCGCATCGAGGTTCTGAGGCGCGGAGTTGGACGGCGAATGTATAATAGGGATTGTGCTGGGCTGCGAATGTCATTAGTTGCGGGAGGGAGGATATACATGGAAGGTGGTCATTGGAGGGCGCGAGGTTGAGGTGCAGTGGGCGGTGGATGAAGGGAGGAAGCATGATAGATGGGTCATGTATAACTACAGTACAAGGATGGTAATGGTCAGTTATATGGAGCCTGATCAAGAGAAGCGTGCCAGTGTCATAGGGAATCATCCTTTCCACACGTCTTGATAGAGAAGCAAGTTGGTGCTAAATGTCGACGTTCGGCAGAGAGTGTACTGTTCCGAATGTCCCACTTCCTCCAGTTGCCTCCGATCGCCATCGTCCGTCCCACTGAACAGTAATTCTGTCCTCATCAAGCAAATTGGAAATTCATTGCACCTCGAAATGGAACTTGCTGCTCAAAACGCGCACTGTTCCACCCTGGCAGGCTCCGGTGCTCGAACCCCTGGTTCAAGTCGGCTAATCAAATGGAACACGCCCTCTGGCTTCGAATTCCAATGTCAGTCCTCACAGTGCACATGAGTCATAATAACGTTACTTGCCCAAAATTTCTACCGTAGGTCCAACGAAGGTCCACTGAGGTCACAAAGTCATTCGTGGGAAAATCTATTCTCAACCACCCGTGTGGTGCCCGACGTTTCTCCCTCCCACCACGACAGTCAATGGCGTCTTTCTCCGACTCACCTCTGGAAGTTATTGCAGAGATAATCGACGCTCTCCAGGATGACACTGCCGCCTTGGAGGCATGCTCTCAGACCTGCTCATTGCTTCTACCATTGTGTCGCAAACACATCTTTCGATCCATCCGCATCACTGCTCGTTCATACCCACAAACAAGCCTTCCACGCGTCATCAAATTATTCGGAATTCTTCTCAGCAACAATCCAGGAATCTCAGATTTGGTTCGGAATCTCGTATTCCACATCTGTTCGCCTGACAGTGAAGATGATGATGTGCCCCGGGTACTTGGAAGGCTTCATCATCTTCAATCTTTCCAGCTGGGAGTTGGTGACCCTATAACAGTAAAGTGGAATGCATTACGCCAACCGTTTCGAGACGCCTTGATCCGTTTAATCCAATTGCCCTCTGTGTCCCGCTTGGACATATCATACATCTATGATTTCCCAATCACCGTATTTTTTCCTTGCATGAATCTAGCCGACCTCACCTTGGCCTGCATCACAAGAGCTCCTACGGCAGTGAGCTATGACAAAGATTCTTCTGCACTAGAAGCTGCACCACAGCTTCAGTCATTTGCTTTCTGTCAGGACTTCGGTTCGTACGCAATGCACCTGTTCAACACCAGACGTCCCAATGGCGTTCCTGTGCTAGACTTCAGTAGAGTTCGAACGTTGAGCGTCGAGGCGGATGGAGAGCAAGACTTGATGACAATCCAAGCATTGATCAGGGCTACAAAGCGGCTTGAAACTCTAAGATACACAAGTATGTACGGGGACCCCTTCTACATATATATTACACCTTACTCACGATTTTAGCTGAAATAACCCAAGGATACACAGCTTTCGCCGCATCGATGAACGCATCATCTCTCTCAACGTTGAGGACATTGCACCTTCAGCACGACATCGAAGATGACATTCAAGACCCCTTGTGCGGAATCTGCGAGGAATTGAGCATTGTTTCGGGGCGCAACGTAATTGAAGAAATATTCCTGGAAGTCATCGTTCAAACCGACTCTCAGTATAAAACCGGAAGTGAATGGGGAGGATTGGATGCTGTACTCTCGCGTGGTTTCCCCAAGCTTCGCAACGTTTCACTCAACATCACAATCTGTCATTTCGCATTACATGTCCGTGCAGGCGCCTTAAAGGAACAGGTAAACGAGATTCCGAGGAAGTACTTTCCGTGGCTGTCTAGCAACATACAAGTAACATTCAAATTTTCCACCAGCCTGTATTGTGTTTGAATATTCTGTTGTAAATATAACCCATTCATGAATTGTCTCAAAACAGCTGCTCGACAACCCACCGATTCGTTTCTAGCAACGCCTGACAGCTTTGCTGATGTCCCCGCCCCCTAAACTCAATGACCTAGATAACGCCATCCTGGGCCCTCAAGGTTGCAAGATTACATAGATATTCCAAGTCAAAAATGGGTAGTGATAGTCAAGGCAGATATTTACGACCGTTGGTCGTGGAAACCATCCACTTCTCAGATCCTGTAACTGGTTCAAATTCCAAAGAAATTCCATACATAACAATTTTACGATTTGTCGAAACCCTTTGCAGCAAAAAAACAAAAAAACAAAAAAAACAAAAAAAACTTTGCCGCACGTTCTTGGGTCGCGTTGGATCAACAAAATTCGGTATAACCTAGTAAGAAAGAGTTCGGGTCAGAAATAAAGTTGCAAGATGCATGTTGTAATCACGAGCATCAACAACTAGAAAAAATAGAACGGCGGATCAGCAAGATCAAATGGTTCAAGCGATGACGGTGAAGCAGAAGACAGGATACTTACAAGCCTGTTTTCCAAAAGAGTTCATCGCCAGGTAGCATGCTATAGTAGACGACTTCAGCGGGGGGAATAACTCAAGAGAGATGACTGAATACCATTGAGATAGGAGCCGCCGGCAAACGTTTCTTGTCTGGAAATACCATCTGTGTAGAAAATCTCCCCCGGTTTTATTGAGTGCCATTTGGCATCTTTCATCCCATCATCTAGGAGGTGACCGTTTAGAACAACTTGGAACAGATATAATTGCCGCTCACCCAAAGTAGTCGTTGTTTTGATTTTCTTTGGGAAGTCTGATCGCTGTATTTCTGTCCTGTCAATCCAGGTAAGGAGCCTCTCAATGACTTACTACTTCCAACTGCTCTTGAAGTTGATGTATTGTGGATAGGGCTTCATTTATCTCGCGCTCGTGTGTCTCTTTCGCTATATTCCATCCTTCTCTCACCTCAGCGAGCTCACGTGCGTGTGTTCGGTTTGCTTCTTCAAGTTCTTTTATGCTCTGTGCCAATGCTTCCCTCAGTTCTCGTATCTGAATGTCGGGCGGATTCTCGTTGTCAGCTGAACCTAATCATAGTCTCCGTTATGACCGAATCCTGGGGTTTGATCAATCCTCACCAATTGTCGTTCCTGAGTCATATGTAATCGCTATAGGTTGGTCTTCCATCCATCCTGGGAAAGTATCAGAGAGAACAGTAATCGCATCACTGTCATTCATGGCAGACTCGCTGCTCTCATCCTCAAATAGTTGAACGTTGTTGCCTGATGGATCTTCAACTTTCATAATGCAATTCTTCAAGGAAGACACAGCGTGAGGTGGGGGCACAGAAAGAGTGTTGAGACGGCCCAAAGAGGGATTGTTCTCCGCAAAAGCGGTTTTTGGGACAGTCCCGCCATCATCGTCGTAGATGCGATAGTACACTGAAAATTTATCAGCTTATTCTCCATAAAACGTGATATAGATGCACCGTAATGTTGTTGAAATTTCCATTCTAATAATTCTTGCGATTCAGCTGAACTCGACGCTGGTGATCTCTTCTCCGCAGAGCGTGTGTCAACAATTAGCGCCACTGGATCTACATCAGATGGGCCTGGTCCAGATGTCCCTCGAAACAAGAGGCGAGTTGCGTCGTCTAGGGCTGCAGTATCCGAAAGTGATTGATACAAAACGCCACTTCGGTGGTTTAAACCCTCAATCTTGCAAAGATACCTCGTCAGAGAGGCAGCGGTCTGAGGGGGTCTCACTAATGTTGACGCGATCCGGCTGATAAAGCGGTCGTTAGAGTAGATAGGGTGGTTCGATTCGAGTGGACCATCTTTTGTATATAATCGATAGTATACTGTGGATGAAGTGATATCAAAGCCAATATTTCATGAAGAAAGAAAGGCGCACTGTAACGAGCTCCCGATTTCACTTCAGGGATCTAAAATGATCGTCAAGACACGTCACTGTGGTAACGATGGACACTCACCGGCTTTGTTTCACCCCTCCCATCTTCGGTGAAAGATTTCCTGAAGAGCTTTCCGTCCCCGCTGTCCATCGGTCTTGTTTTATCAGTGGGCATCGGGGGCGATGGTGGTGAGTAAGATCAGAGAATTGAAGTTCGCAACAACGGAAAACAGACGGTGTGATAAGAATCAGCAATTAGGCGCCTACAGGCATCAGCGTTTATTTTGAAGTGCTGGAGCGTCAAATGGGTGTGGCATTTGAGAGCGTGACGTAACGCTCTGTGACTCGTTTGTGATCACAGAAGGCCTCAAACCGAGGCAGCTGCTCGCCATACTTGAACGAAGTTTTTGAGCGGTGTTACGAAAACGCTCTTTCGAACGCAAGGGACACAAAAACGCTTTTCTGCTCCCCAAGGGCGACCTCTTGCTCTTAGAGAACCAATTCCGTCCCAAGATATCCGACCTCATCGTTTGCTCATCGTCCCTTGCCTTTGTATCCGACAACCACGGATGGATGAACGAGTGACGTTGGTGGGGTAGACTTCTGATCCTAAAGGGATTGAACACGCTGTTCAGTTTGATGACGAGGAGAGTGGTGAGGGGGTATTGTAGAATGGGATGAAAGGGTGTTGCAGATGCGGAGGGACTTGGAAGGATTCTGAGAGAATTGTCCGGGGAGGCTGTGAGGAACTTCAAGACGTCAGCTTCGTATCCTTCAGTATTTGGTTTTCGTGACAATTTCTGATAATATCAGCAGACCTCGAAGCCGTCGAAAGAGACCTAAAATTTCTACGCAAAAGGCTATCGCTCTCTCAATATTGTCCTTGTGCACTCCCAGCTCACGAACGCGCCATCGGCAAGCTAGCCCGCTCCCTCGGATTCACCAACGTATCAGAATCAGCGCGGCTCCTCCCCATGATCAAGATAATTTTGCATGGTGTCACCATACTGACGTAACATCCAACCAGGAGCGCTCAGGAGTGCCTCGTCTCCACAACTCTGCTTGTTGATGTCTGCTAACCATCCAAAGCTTGCAGCGCGTAGTGCTCGGCAAGAGGCACATCTCGCACTTTGACGGCCCCATTTTCGATCTTGGATGGGAACACAATCATGGGCTCGCTGACGTGTGCTGTGTGGGCGGTTAAACAACCTAAATTTGGGTTTGATGCCCTCTCATACCACCACCGGTCGTCATCGACGAGGTGACAACGACTCGTCTCGTCTCGCCAACGTGCACAGCAAGTCGTCCGTTTTTATTGGGCAAACCCTATATCTCAACGCATACCCCCATCAACCCACTACTTGGAAGCAGAACGACCCCACCAACCAAATGCGACATCCGCTCGCCGCCATTGACCGCTACAAGTGTATGAGGTGGCTGGGATTCACACTGCCCTTTTGAGCCGTGGAATGAAAAGCTGCATCCTCGGAGAGGGAAACAGGGGCTGTACGCTGGCATATTGGTCATCGTCGTTGGCATTGATGAGGGACAAGTTGGTGCTGGTGAGTTTAGTACAGCTTGATACCTGGCAGAGCGGTGCTTACAATGCTCTGATTCATTTCTACAACCCGTCGGAACGTTTGTATCTGTGATGGGTAGGGAGGTGGTGGGAAGGAGGAAGAGTGGGGGTGGGAGTGAGGATGTTTTTGTACGCGATAGGTCGAGCACGAGTGGAGGTGATGGCCGCCATGGCTCTCGATTTGCTCTCTGTAATCGTCACTTGGTCGGTATCCACTCGTTGACAGGGAAAAACTCTTCTGGTCATACCTCGCCGTGACGTCTGCCATGTTCGGCTCCCGTTGTCGTACCACCGATAACTTGTATCTATTGTGTTCCGTTGGTTTCCACTGTTTCTTACAAAATAACGAGATCCTTGACCCCCCTCCATGTTAAATACTTTGTCACGTTGGATCAACAAAAAAAGACGAATTCTAAGAAAGAGTTCAGGTCAGAAATAGAGTTGCAATGGATGTAGTCACTTTTATCAACGACTAGAAAAAATAGAGCAGCGAATCAGCAAGATTGAACAGCTCGAGCGATGATGGTGAAGCAGAAGACGTGACACTTACAAGCCACTTTTCCAGAAGAGTTCGTCGCCAGGTAGCATGCTAAAGCAGATGACATCAGCAGAGCAGAGGGAATAAGTCAAGAAAGATGGATTAATACAATAGAGATCGGGACTGCTGCTAAACGTCTCTTTCCTGGAAATACCATCTGTGTAGAAAGTCTCCCCCCGTTCTGTTGAGTGCCATTTGGAATCTGTCACCCCATCGTCTACGGGTGACCGGTGACCTTTTAGTGCAACTTGGAACAGATACCATAGTCGCTCACCCGAATTTTCCGCTGCTTTGAGTTTCTTTTTGAAGGTTGAGGGCTGTACTTCTGTCATGTCACTCCAGCCTCAAGGTGTCATTCAATGACTTACCACTTTCGACTGTGCTTTAAGTTTGCGTATCTTGGATAGGGCTTCATTTATCTCGCGCTCGTGTGTCTCTTGTGCCTCTTCCCATTCTTCTTGCGCCTCTTCCAATTCTCCTCTCACCTCAGCAAGCTCACGCGCGTGTGTTTTCTTTGCTTTCTCAAGCTCAAGCGCGTGTGTTTGGATTAATTCTTCAAGCTCATCGCCGTGTTTTCGCTTTACTTCTTTAAGCTTACGTGCGTGTCTTCGCTTTACTTCTTCAAGCTCACGCGTGTGTGTTAGGTTTGCTTCTTTCAATTCTTTCTTGATCTGTGCCAATGCTTCCTTCAGCTCTGGTATCTGGATGTCGTCCGTATCCTCGCTGTCCCAGTCAGTTGAACCTACAAAAAGTCTCTGTTACGACCCAGTCCTGTGGTTTCATTGAGACTCACCATTTTGCGTTCCCCGTTCATATGTAATTGCGATAGGCTGGCCTTCTAGAATTCCTGGGAATGTATCAGAGAGGAGGGTGATCGCATCACTGTCATTCATGGCAGAATCGCTGGCCTCATCCTCGAATAGCTGAACATTGTGGCCTGGTAGATCTTCAGATATCATAATGTGATTTTTCAAGGAAGACACAGTGTGGGGCGGGGGAACAAAAAGAACGTTCACGCGACCCAAAGAAGGACTGTTTTCCTCGAAAGATGTTTTTGAGACAACGTCACCGTCGTCGTCGTAAACGCGATAGTACACTGGGAATCATGAGGCTAATTTCTGGACAATACATAGTAGAGCCGCACCGTAAAGTTGTTCATGATCGCGTTCAATTAGCTCTCGTGGTTGTACAGGGCTCGTTACCTGTGATCTCCTCTCCACGGCGCGTTTGTCAACAACAAGAGCCATTGGATCTAGGTTCGATATACCTGGACCAGTAGTCCCCTGAAGCGAGAGGCGGATCGAATCGTCCATAGCTGTCATGTCCGAGAGAGATTGAAATAAGGTGCAGTTTTGTAGTGCCAAGCCCTCAATCTTGCAGAGACGCCTCATCAAAGAGGCGGCGGTCTGAGGTGGTCTCACTGATGAGGACGCGATCCGGCTGATGAAGCGGTCGTTCGAGTATATGGGGGTGTTTGATTCGAGTGGACCATCTTTGGTGTATAACCGATAGTATACTGGGTGGGTGAGTCCTATCATTGCCAATTATGATCAAAGGAAAGAGGAAGGCGCACTGTAACGACCTCCGGATTTCATTTCAAGTGTCTATTTTGATCATCAGGACACAACACTGCGATAAATGACTAGCGGTTGACAACTCACTGGCTTTGTTTCACCCCTCGCATCTTCGCAGAAAGATTTCTTGGAGGGATTTCCATCGCCGCCGTCCATTGGTCTTGTTTCATCAGTGGGCATCGGTAGCGCACTGTCGCTGGTGGTGGGTAAGATCAGACAGTTGGAGTTTGGAACAAATGAATTGCGATGAGAAATTGGCTATTACTATTTGGTGCTTACAAAACATCGGCCTGCCGTGAAGGCCGCAGGGGTGCAGGATCGTAGAGGATCGTGCACCCTCCATTGCCAAGCATCCTCTAGCATCCTCCGTCACATCAAATTTTAATTTTCAGCTGTTACTGTCTGCAACGCAAGTCTAGAGACAGTGTATCGCTCTTTCCAAGATTCGTTGTATGAAAACCGATTTGAAGTTGAAATTTCTCGACTGGATCTTTCAAGTTTTCTCTGAGCGCACTTTCAAAAGGTGCCAGGTGGAATCGCACTTTCCTTTTTGATTTTGCTTATCCTAGGGTTTGCCTCAATGCCTACGGTGGTGTGAGAAACAAGCGCACATTCCATCAGCAAACGCACCCAATGCAACCTCAGAGTCGGAGTTCTAAAGTCCTTTTGCTTCACACCATCGTACTTCCCATCATACGATTTTACAGGTCCTTTGAAGTTGGCCATGGTCGCGCCGACAAAGACACAGCAAGATCACATTGTCATCACCCTTCGTTGGGCTCAGCCCATCAATCAAGCAAAACCAACCGAGGCCTGACGATGACCGGAATCAGTATCTTGATATTAACGACGAAGTCGATACAATTCCGCCTCATCTTGATACTTCTCTTGTCAGTGCCCCGTGGTGCTATTAGTACTATCAACTTCAGCGCCCTAACTCGCCGTCGCGTGCTGGAGATCGTAGCAGGAGAGAAAATAGGCAAGTCTCTCACAAACCACGATCGCTCTACAATTACTTATCAGCACCAGATTACACATGCCTATCCACTACCATCGCCGCTAACGCTCTCCTAGGGAACCAATCCCGTCCCAAGGTTCGAACTCAGCATCGGTCGTCCCCGCCTTTGTATTCGACGGTCACGGAGGTGGATGAACGAGTGACGTTGGACTTTTGATCCTAAAGGGGAGGGACACGGTTAGGGGGTACTGTGGTAAGGGATGGGATGGTGCTACGGATGCGGAGGGGCCTGGGAGAGGGTTGTCTGTGGAGTGAGGATTCTTAAGACACCAGGTTCGTATCCTTCAACGCTTGTATTCTCGTAACTATTCCTGATAATATAACAGACCTGGAAGCCGTCGAACAAAACCTAGAGCAAAAGGCCACCGCTCTCTCGCCATTGTCCTCGTGCACTCCTACACCTACCCAGAGCACAAATGGGCCATCGGCAATCTAGCCCTCTCCCTCGGGCTCACCCATGTGTCAGAATCGACGCAGCTCCTCCCGATGATCAAGATGGTTCCGTGTGGTAGTATGTCTTCAACAGCCAACATGTACCTCACATAACATCCAACAGCCACGTCGGTGGCCTCGTATTCGACAGGAGGACGATACGGTCTAGGATCGGCCTGTCTCCACAACCCTGCCTGTTGATGTCAACCTCGATGGAGCTGATAATCCAAGTCACTAGCTCGCAGTGCGTAGTGCACGGCAAGAAGTAGATCTTTCACGGTGACGGCCCAATAGGAACACAACGCTGGTCTGTCGAGGGGCGCCGTGAGGATGGTTCGAGGCCCTAGATTTTGGTCTGATGCCCTCTCATACCTATCGCGAACGACGGCGGCGAGCGGATGTCTCTCTTTCAAGTAACGGGTTGAACGAGGTGCCGTAGCGGGATTGTGGTGGCAGAAATATGGTGGCAGTGGTATACAGTAATGTGAGCGGGGAGATAGGGGATTGCCCAACGAGGACGGACGACTTGCGGTGTACGTTGGTGAGATGAGGGGAGTGTACGTGGCTGGGAACCCCACCGACACTCCAAAGACTGAATTCATGCTCTTGGCTGAGCCGTATGGCTCTGTTTCATGCGAACAGACCATCTTCGGGCCTTTGCCAGCTGTGGAGTGGGATAGCTGGATTGTCGGAGAGGGGATTTAAGGCGTGTAGGTGGCATTTTGGTCGCCGTTCAATTGCCAACGGTGGGGGTGCAGTTGGTGGTGGTGAGTTATCCAGCTCGATACACAGCCGAGCGATGCTTACAATGCTTTAATTTGGTTCTAGGACCCATAGGAACGTTTGTGTTTGTGTTTGGATGGGTAGGGTACCATGGGAGTAGGGCCGTGAGAAGGTAGTGGTTTGGCAGCGGAAGAGCGGGGGATTCTATTCGCTCTTGGAGGGTGATGATATTATCTGCTGAGGCCCTGTGCGAACCTGTCAAAAACGAACAATCAACAGGACAGGTCGAGCACGGGCGGAGATGTGGTCCCCTTGTCGAGAGGGCTCTTGTGTCGCTCTCCATCGTCGTCATCTGGTTCATACTGGGGGGGGGAACTCTTCTGCTCTTCTCTCGCCATGGCTTAGCTAAATCGTTTCTTGCGTCTAGAATTTTTGGTTCCAGTTGTTAGTAGTATATCACTAATAACACGTAGTTTTATTGTTCCATCGGTTTCCACTTTTTCTTATCCTTTCAAAATAACAAGACCCTTAGCCCAGAGACTCACTTTCTCCGCGGGTCACGTTCTAGCCTAAGTTTGAAGCCCTGAAGTGACTCGCCGATTAAATACATGGCCATGGCATTCGTTCACCATCATGATGGCATTCATTCTCTCTTCTTGCGTGTGACGGCTGAACTTGATCGTAGACATAATCAGCAAAATGGTGACTGATCCCATGTACGACTCCCATTGTCCACCATGTATCTTCCATTCTTTCTTTTTCTGTTTTGTGGCGAACATCAGATGTGTTGAAACTTGACCGCACGCAGTATACATATGTAGCCAGCCGCACTTTAAAGCGTTGATCCCCTGGAGAGGCTAGACAATTTGCTGTTGAAGCTCTATGAATCCTCTAAAAACAGCTGCTCATGAACACACCAATTTTTCTCCAGCAACGCCTGACATTTTTGCCAATATTCTCGCTGCGTATCCTAAAACTCCTACGTAGATGATGCCATCCCCAGCCGTCAAGGTTGCAGAACACCAGATTAGTCCAAATCGAAATTGAATAGTACATAGGCAAGGCAGATATTTTAGATGGTGCAAGGTTTGCGGTATTGACTCGTCGCTGCCACACTTCCAAATAACGCGGGCATCATGGGGTGGAAAGCATCCACCTCCCGATCTCATGACTGGTTCAACTTTCAAAGAAAATCCATCAAAAATGGTTTCACGGGCGTCGAAACCCTCTGCAGTGAAAAGAAAGAACTAAAAAAGATGGATTTCCCTGTACGTTATTCAAGGGTCGCGTTGGATTAACAAAATTGGGTCATCCAGCCTAAGAAAGAGTTCGGGTGAGAAATAAAGTTGGAGGATGCATGTAGTCACTTTGAACAACAACTAGAAAAAATGGAACGGCGGATGAGAAAGATCGAACAGTTCATGCAATGATGGTGAAGAAGAAGACAGGATGCTTACAACCCAGTTTTCCAGAAGAGTTTTGAGCCAGGTAGCATGTATATCCTATATCGGATGACTTCAGCAGAAGGAATAACTCAAGAGAGATCAATAAATGTACTACCAGAGCCGTTGCGATGCTCCTCTCTCCTACAGACACCATCTGTGTAGAAAATCTCGCCTTTTTGCATTAAGTGCCATCTGGCATCATGCTGCCCAAGATCTACCAGTAGGCAACTTTTTAGAACAACTTGGAACAGATATCATTGTTTCTCACCATCATCGTACTTTGCTATGAGTTGCATTGTGAAGGTTGAAGTCTATCCTTCTGTCATTTCGATCCAGGTAAGACGCCATTCAATGACTTACTTTCAACTGCACTTGAAGTTGATGTATCGTGGATAGCTCGCGCTCGTGTGTCTCTTTCGCCTTCTTCCATCCCTCTCTCACCTCAGCAAGCTCACGCGCGTGAATCTCTTCCGCCTTTTTCTGTCCCTCTCTCGCGTCAGCAAGCTCACGTGCGTGCGTTCGCTTTGCTTCTTCAAGCTCGCGCGTGTGTGTTAGGTTTGCTTCTTTAAATTCTTTCGTGATCTGTGCCAACGCTTCCCTCAGCTCTCGTATCTGGATTTCGTTCGGATCCTCGTTGTCAGCTGAACCTGATCAAAATCTCCATTATGACCAAGTCTTGAGGTTTCATTAATCCTCACCATTTGCCGTTCCTGGGTCATATGTAATCGCCATAGGCTGGTCTTCTATCCATCCCGGGAACGTATCAGAGAGGACGGTGATCGCATCATTGTCATTCATGGCAGACTCGCTGCTCGCATCCTCAAATAGTTGAACGTTGTTGCCTGATAAATCTTCGGATTTCACAATGCAATTCTTCAAGGAAGACGCAGCATGAGGTGGGGGCACAGAAAGAGTGTTGACACGGCCCAAGGAGGGATTGTTCTCGGAAAAAGCGGTTTTTGGGACAGCCCCACCATCATCGTCGTAGACGCAATAGTACACTGAAAAATTCTTAGCTTATTCTCCATAAAACGTGATATAGATGTCTGATGCACCGTAACGTTGTTGAAAATTCCGTTCCAATAATTCTTGCGATCCAAGTGAACTCGAAGCCTGTGATCTTTTCTCCGCAGCCTGTGCGTCGACAACCAGCGCCACTGGATCTACATCGGATCGGCCTGGCCCAGATGTCCCTCGAAACAAGAGGTGCGTTGGACCGTCTAGAGCTGTGTTATCTGAGAGTGATTGGTACAAAGCACCCCTTCGGTGTTCTAAACCCTCAATCTTGCAAAGATACCTCGTCAGAGAGGCAGCGGTCTGAGGGGGTCTCACTAATGTTGACGCGATCCGGCTGATATAGCGGTCGTTACAGTAGATAGGGTGGTTCGATTCGAGTGGACCGTCTTTTGTGTATAATCGATAATATACTGTGCAGGTGAATTGATATCAAAGCCAATTATAAAGGAGAAAGAAAGGCGCACTATAACGAGCTCCCGATTTTACTTCAGGAATCTAAGATGATCGTCGAGACACAACACTGCATCAAATGAGTAGCGGTGGACACTCACTGGCTTGGTTCCACCCCTACCATCCTCGGAGAAATACTTCCTGGAGGATTTTCCGTCGCCGCTGTCCATCGGCCTTGTTTCATCAGTGGGCATCGAGGGCGCTGGTGGGTAAGATCAGAGAATTGGAATTCGGAACAACGGAAAACAGATGGTGCGATAAGAATCGGCGATTAGGCGCTTACAGACATCAGCCTGCCACAAATGCGTGTGTGACTATCATGACTGAGCGTGCAAGGCCGCAGGGGTGCAGGATCGTGCACCCTCCGTGCACCCTCATTCGTTGTCCAAAACCGATAAGTCGAAATTTCTCGATTGGATCTTTTCTCTGCGCGCACTTGGAAATAATCAGAAGTTGTTAGGTGGAATCGCACTTTCCTTTTCGATTTTGCTCATCCTATGGTGGGCACGCGTTTGTGTGAGGAACAAGCCCACGAACGAGGTTAAAAGTCGGAGTTTCAAAGTCTAAATTTTGCTTCACAATTGACCATCCTACGATTTTACAGGTCCTTGGCCATGGTACAATCGCGGCGACAAAGGCACGGCAGGATCACTTCAAAATCCAAACATCGCCCTCCGTCGGCCCAATGCCCATCAACCAAGCGAGGCCTGACGATGACCGGAATGAATGTACGAAGACGATGCAATTCCGCCTCCTCTTGATACTTCTCTTGTGCCACGTGGTGCTACTAGTACTATCAACTTCAGCGCCCTAACTCGCGGTCGCGTCTTGGAGATCGTAGCGGGAGAGGAAATAGGCAAGTCTTTTCCACACTACGATCGCTCTACAATTACTTAGCAGCACCAGATGACATCCGCCTATCCACTACCGTCGCCACTAGCGCTCTCCTCGAACGCAAGGGACACAGACGCGCTCTTATACGCACTAAGGGATGCAAAGCCCTCCTGCTTATAGGGAACCAATCCCGGACCAAGATATTCGAGCTCAACATCCGTCGTCCCCCGCTTTCCAATTCGACGGTCACGAAGATGGATGTGGGGTGTACCTCTGTTTCTAAAGCAGAGAAACACGTAGTTCAGCTTGATGATAAGGGGAGAGTGGTGACGAGTATTGTGGAAAGAGATGGGATGGACTGGATGGTGTTACGGATGCGGGAGGGCCTGGGAGGATTGTAAGAGCGTTGTCTGGGGGGGCTGTGAGGATTCTCAAGACGCCAGGTTCGTATCCGTCAATACTTCTATTCTCGTGAAAATTTCTGATAATAGCGACAGGCATATCAAAAACCGTTGAAAAGAGACCTAAAAGACTCTACGCACAAAAGGCTACCGCTCCCCCACCATCGTCCTTTTAGGCTTCTACACTTTCCCAGAGCACGAACGCGCCATCGGGAACCTACCCCGCTTGGGTCCACCACGTATCACATAACATCCAACAGCGACGTCGTCGATGGCCTCGTCATCTTCAGGATGACCATACGTCCTAGGAGCGCCAGCTCTAGTTGTCGATGTGGATGCTGACCATCCAAGGCACTAGCTCGCAGCCCATAGTGCACTGCAAGAAGCACATCTTGCAGTGACGGACCCATCGTCATGGGAACTGTCTGGTGCCCTCTCTACCGCCACTGGTCGTCTTCGACGAGATAACGGCGACTTGTCGCGAACGACGTCGACGAGCGAATGTCGTATTTGATTGGTACGGTTGTGCCTCTTTCATGTCATGGGGTGTTTGAGGCGCTGTAGCGGGGTAGTGGTGGCAGTCATATGCAGGAATGTCGGTGGAGGGATGGGGGATTCCCCAACGGGGACGGACGACTTGTGGTATACGTTGGTGAGATGAGGGGAGTGTATGACCCTGGCCCTCGAAATCCTGAATTGGTGCTATTGTTTCAGCCGTATGGGTCTGGTGCATGCGAACAGACCACCTTACGACCCTCGCCAGCCATAGATTGGGACAGCTGCATCGTCGGAGAGGGGATGTGTGCTGGCATTTTGGTCGTCGTTGTTGCCAATTATGGGGGTCTAATTTATACAGCTCGATACATAGCCGAGCGATGCTTACAATGCTCTGATTTGGTTCTAGGACCCATAGGAACGTTTGTGTTCTTGTTTGGATGGGTACACAATCAGTTCGTTGGATTTAATGGAGGAGGAACTATGCCCGATGAATGCAGCATCCTTGTACAAATCGCTTCTCGAAAGACACTTTATGACTGGTTTGAAAACAGCTGCTCATTGACAACAACACACCGATTCAACGCCTGATAGCTTTACCGATACTCCCGCTGTGTTTCCTATAACCAAATGGCCTACCTGGATGATGCCATTCCGGACTCTCAAGGCTGCAGAACATCATAAGTAGCAATTCAAAGTAACGCGGGCTTCAAATCCAATTTCTGGCTTTGATAACTCCAAAAATATTCCATCAATAACAGTCGTCGAACCCCCTACAGTAAAAAGGCAAAAATACTAAGAGATAAATTTCCCTGCACGTTATTTGGCCACGTTGGATCAACAAAAAACGACATCATCTAAGAAAGAGGTCGGGTCAGAAATAAAGCTGCAGGTTGTGTGTAGTCACTTTGATCAACAACTAGAAAAAATGGAACGGCGGATCAACAAAATCGAACAGATCAAGCGAGGAAGGTGAAGCTGAAGACAGGATACTTACAAGCCAGTTTTCCAAAAGAGTTTGTCGCCAGGTAGCCATTCCATTCTATAGTCGACGACTTCAGCAGGAGGAATAACTCGAGAGAGATCAATAAATACCAGCGACACGACTATTGGCCTCATACTTCTTCTCCCTGGAAATGCCATCTGTGTAGAAAATCTCCCTCGGTTTCACTGAGTGCCATGCGGTATCCATCGAAACTAGAAGGCGACTTTTAGAACAACTTGAAACAGCTACCATTGTCGCTCACCCCAATCGTTCGTTGCTTTGAGTATCTTTGTGAAGGTTGAAGGCTATATTTCTGTCATTTCAATCCAGGTAAAGTGCCATTCAATTACCTACTTTCAACTGCGCTGGAAGTATTGCAGATAGGGCTTCATTGATCTCGCGCACGTGTGTCTCTTTCGCCTTTTCCCATCCCTCTCTCACCTCATTCAATTCTTTCTTGACTTGTGCCAATGCTTCCATCAGCTTTCGTGTCTGGATGTCGTCCGGATCCTCGTTGTCAGCTGAACCTGATTGGAATCTCCGTTGAGACCAGTCCTGGGGATTCATTGAGGCTCACCATTTGCCGTCCCCGATTCATATGTAATTGCAATTGGGCGGTCTTCTGTAAATCCTGGGAACGTATCAGATAGAAGGGTGAGCGCATCATTGTCAGTCATGGCAGACTCGCTGCCCTCGTCCTCAAATAGCAGAACATTGATGGCCGATACATCTTCGGATTTGATGACGTAGTTCTTCAAGGAAGACACAGTGTGAGGTGGGGGGACAGAGAGTGTTTTGATGCGACCCAAAGAGGGATTGTTGTCGTCGAAAGACGTTTTTGGGACAATCTCACCATCATCGTCGTAAACGCAATAATACACTGAAAATTTATGAGGCCGATTCTCGGATAACACATAATAAAACTGCACCGTAACGATGTTCATGATCGCCTTCAAACAGCCCTTGCGGTTGTACCACGCTCGTTACCTGTGATCTTCTCTCTGCGGCGCTTTTATCAACAACCAGCGCCATTGGATCTCCATTAGATGTGCCTGGCCCAGTAGTCCCCCAAAGCGAGAGGTGTATCAAATCGTCCAAAGCAGTTATTTCTGAGAGAGATTGAAATAAGATGCAGTTTTGGAGTGCTAAGCCCTCAATCTTGCAGAGATACCTCAACAAAGAGGTGGCGGTATGAGGGGGTCTCACTGATGAGGACGCGATCCGGCTGATAAAGCGGTCGTTCGAGTAGATGGGGCTGTTTGATTCGAGTGGACCATCTTTGGTGTATAACCGATAGTATACTGGGCGAGTGGGTTCTATAAGTGCAAACTATACTCAAAAGAGGGAGAAAGGCGCACTGTAACGAGCTCCGGGTCTCATTCCAGGTGTCTGCTTTGATAGTCAAGACACAACATCGTATCAAATGAGTGGCGATGGACACTCACTAGCTTGGTTCCACTCCTACCATCCTCGGACGAAGATTTATCAGTGGGGTTTCTGTCGCCGCTGTCCATCGGTCTTGTTTCAACACTGGGCACTGGGGCGCTCGCGGTGGATAAGATCAGGGAATTACAGTTTGGTGTGAACGGTGATTGCGGCGATTAGGGGTTGATTAGGGGCTTACACGCTCCTCGTTTTTAACCTTTTTTTCTACAATATGTTTCGGTGTTCTTGAGCTGTGAAAGACATTGAGTTGTTTTTTGACTGGAATGAAATACAAACTATGTTTCAAATTTCAACATGTGGGACATGTGTTGCCAACCCGACATGTCGGAGTTCTAAAACTGCACTATACCTTTGCTATACCTTCCTAACCACACAACCGCACCAACTGGCACGAAGACGCAGCGAGCTCACGCCGTCGTCAAAATTCAAGCATCGCCCTCCGTCGGGCTCCGTGTCAATGCCGCTAATCAACCGATCTGTCCATGACCGGAATGTACATCTTGAAATCAATGACAAAGACGATGTAAATTCGCCTTTTCCTTCTGATACTAAGTTTCTTGTGCCCTGTGGACCCACTATCAATTTCAGCGCGCCTTAACTACCAAACTTACCGAACCCAGACGACTCACACCGAAGGCATCCGTCGCGTTCTCGAGCAATTCTTGAGCTCGAAAAGATCCCCAGAGGCGCTAACCTCGAAACAGCAAGTCTCTTCCAAACCACAATCTTTCTACAATTACTTATTGACAGCAGATTACATCCGCTTAGTTACCACCGTTGCCACTAACGCTCTACTCGAATGAAAGGGACACAAACACGCCCTGGTAAGCACCAAGGGATTCGAAGACCTCCTGCTCGTAGAACCAATCCCGTCCCAAGATACTCGACCTCAACATCCATCGTCCCCCGCCTTTGGTTACAGAGGTGGATAAATTAGTGAGGCTGGTGGGGTATACTTGCGATCCTAGAGCGGAAGAACACGTGGTTGAGTTTGACGATGAGGGGAGAGTGCTCAGGGGGTGTCGTGGAAAGAGATGGAATGGCGTTGCGTATGCGGAGTGGCCTGGGAGGATGTCGGGGGAGGCTGTGAGGATCCTCAAGACGCCCGGTTCGTATCCTCCAACACTTTTATCTTCGAGATTATTTCTGATAATATCATCAGACCTTGAAGCCGTCGAAAGAGACTTAGAAGCAAAAGGCTACCGCTCCCTCGCCGTCGTCCTCGTGCATTCCTACACCTATCCAGGGCATGGACGCCCATCGGCAGCCTAGCCCGCTCCCTCGGGTTCGCCCACGTATCAAAATCAGCACAGCTCCTCCTCATAATCACGATGGCCCCGCGTGGTTTGTCCTCAGCAGCCGACGCGTACCTCGCATAACATACAACAGCCACTTCGATGGCCTCGTAGTCTTCAGGGGCTAGGAGTGCCTTGTCTTCACTGACTCTTCCTGATAATGTCGACCTCGACGGTGCTAATTACTCAAGCACATCTTGCACAGTGACGGCCCCATCGTCGATCCTCGATGGGAACACAACAATGGGTTTGCTGACGAGCGCCGTGAGGATGGTTCGAGACCCTATATTATTTACATTGGCTCAAATTGCGAAGCGTTAGATCAAGTTCATACAGCCTGAATCTCCGCATCACTTCTCGTTGCGCGTCATCCATTTCCACTCTCCGATTCCTCCTCCTTCGCGTAAATTTCCCTTGCCTAATTCAAGCATAAAATCAGTTGCTTCACACTACGAGACATTGGTTCTACACACCTTTGAACTACGCGCCGAGATTTAATGGGTGTTAATCAGTGGAAAAACATAAAGTTCGATCTCATACGATGCAGAACTCACCAAAGCGCTCATATCAATTGCGCGCAGACCGTCTTTCTTGAGGTATGTGATACCAACTTCAACGTCGTATTCGGCACAACCCTTCTTCTTCGACACTCTAAACTTGCCATGGTCTCCTGCGGCGAATTTCTCCGTGCTCTCAAAGGTCAGAGTTCCTTTAGCCTCGAGCGTGCCTTCGTCTATCGGTTGTGTTACGTGGGATAAAGACAATGAATTGGAACGGTCAGGCTCACCACCGCTCTGCGCGGGTGTGGTATAAGTTCCGAAGAAGGTAAGTATAGCGCGCTCGTGTGGATCGTGATGGTGGTGGTGACCACCCTCGGGCGGGGGATGATCATCATCCAACCATAAGAAGAGGTGGTCGCCCCCGGATGCTGCGGTTGCTGGCGCGGTGATTGGCTTTGGTTCTGCCATGACTAGTGACTGTGGAAGTTGTATCATCGTTACGCTGAGTTGAAGTTGTTTAAGGATACAGCGGTTTGGACCCCGCGCTCAGGACCTCGAATACCGCTTCACTAAAAAGGGCGGAATTATACAGAGTGCTGAAGAGCACGAGATACCTGTCCACAGCAGCGCCAATGATGCATGGACGTTCAGAATGAACGTGGCTCCTAACGGCACAACGTCTCCTCCAGGGTCGAAATTACAACGGTCTCGCTGTTTTTTCTACTTGTCGACGTTTGGCGAGAGCTCATTTTCAAAGTACCGTAGGTCTTTAGAATAGTGTAACACCATAGAGTGTCAAGGAAAATACTCCACAGGTCCAAATACAACGACTCCAACACGACGCGTCATATCCGGCGTCAATCTGTGAGGTATGACGCGAACGGTATCACAGGCGACAGATGGAGTAAGCGACCGGCAGTAGGGTTTGCAATAGTACTAGTGGCCATGCGTGAAAAGAATGTACCGTGGTCCTTTTGACTCTTCGCAAAATCCAAATCCGATTCTATAGAGCGCAAATTTTGCTGTCGGTCGATGATACTGATCTTAAACTGTAGATTGATCAGGTGCGATTGAGATTTTTTCGGTCGCATTGGATCAACAAAAAACAGTATAAACTAAGAAAAGGTTCGGGTCAGAAATAAAGTTGCAGGATGAATGTAGTTACCTTTACTAGCAACTGGAAAAAAAACGGCGGATCAGCAAGATCGAAGAGTTCATGCGAGAAAAAGACAGGAAACTTACAAGCAAATTTTCCAAAAGAGTTTGTCGCCAGGTAGCATTCCCAATCTATGGTGGACGACTTCATCAGAAAGAATAACTCAAGAGAATTGATAAATACCATAGACGTTGGGGCCATTACGCCATTTCTCCCTCCTGAAAATACCATCTGTGTAGAAAATCTCACCCATTTTCAGTGAGTGCCATGTAGCATTTACCACCCCCATATCTAGCAGGTGACTTTTTAGACCAACTTGGAACAGATATAATCGTCGCTCACCCCAATCTCTCGTTGCTCTGAGTTTCTTGCTGAAGACTGAAAGCTATGTTTCTGTCATTTGGATTTCAAGAAGGTGAAATGCAATGGCTTACGGTTATCATCTGCGTTCGAAATTGATGTAGCGAGGATAGAGCTTCATTCATCTCGCACTCGTGTGTCTCCATCGCCTTGTTCCATCCCTCTCTCACCTCGGCAAGCTCACGCACAAGTGTTCGGTTTGCTTCCTCAAGCTCACTCGTGTGTGTCAGGTTTGCTTCGTATTTTTCCTTCATTTGTGCCAATGCTTCCCGCAGCTCTCGTATCTGAATTTCGTTCGTATCCTCGTTGTCAGCCGAACCTAATTAAAGTCTCCGTTATGACCGAGTCCTGGGATTTCATTGATTCTCACCATCTGTCGTTCCTGATTCATATGCAATTGCTATAGGTCGGTCTTCTGTAGATCCTGGGAACACACTGGCATCAGAGAGGAGGGTGAGCGCATCACTGTCATTCATGGCAGACTGGCTGCCCTCATCCTCAAATAGCTGAAAATTGTGACCGGATACGTCTTCGGCTTGGATAATGCGGTTCTTCAAGGAAGAGACAGTGTAAGGCGGGGGAACAGAAAGAATGTTGACACGGCCCAGAGAGGGATTGTGCTCGCCGAAGGACGTCTTTGGGACAGTCTCACCATCGTCGTTGTATACGCGATAGTACACTGGAATTTTGTAAGGCCTATTTTCGGATAACATATAATAGCCTCAGAGCCGCACCGTACCGTAACGTTCGTCAGAATCGCCTTCAAACAGCTCTTGCGGCTCTACCACGCTTGTTACCTGTGATATCCTCTCTGCGGTGCGTCTGTCAACAACCAGCGCCGTTGGATTTAGATCGGATGCGCCTGGCCCAGTAGTCCCCCGAAGCGAGAGATGGATCGAATTGTCCAAAGGTGTCATTTCTGAGAGAGATTGAAAAAGGATGCAGTTTTGAAGTGCTAAGCCCTCAATCTTGCATAGATTCCTCATCAAAGAGGCGGCGGTATGAGGCAGTCTTACTGAGGAGGATGCGATCCGGCTGATAAAGCGGTCGTTCGAGTAGACAGGATGGTACGATTCGAGTGGACCGTCTTTGGTGTATACTCGATAGTATACTGGGAGGGTGAGCTGATATTATAATTTGCTAAAGGAGAGACAGGCGCACTGTAACGAGCTCCGGGTTTCATTTCAGATGTCTACAGTGATCATCAGAACAACGACGTATGAATCGAGGATCAGTGGACACTCACTGACTCGCTTCCTCCCCGACCATCCTGGAAGAAAGGTATCGCAGTCGGCTTGCCATCGCCGCCGTACGACGGTCTTGTTTCCTCAGTGGCCATTTGGAGTGCTGGTGGAGGATGGTGATGAAAATTTCCATAATTCACTAAGGCACAGGAACGCAGATAAAGATTGGGATAAGATCAGCCAACATCATAAACTTGGGGGGAAATCAATTGTTTGTTTCTGTTATTTTTTGGAGTTTGTGGATGATGATGCGCCGTCAGATTCTTACCTCTACCACCCAACCAAAACTTGTCAGTCTGTCCCTGGTCTGTCAGAAAAGTGGATTTTAGGTGAGTCAGTCTCATAGCTCCCACTATTATAAGTCTACATACAACTAACGAGAATCCCTATGTATAGGCTTGGTCGTGAAGATTTTTGTTGAGGGCCTCCGACTCAGTAACAGCGGTTCCGGAACTACGATCAGAAGTTGGGAGGTAGCATTTGGGCATTGGATTCGTTCCGTCGGCGATGAGGAGCGCCAACTCTTAGATGGTTTGTCGTTGTCCACCTCAGACTCCGTATCACCAAAACTTGACGATCATACAGAAACTATAACGGCACTCGACGTTTCCGATACGCTCTCGCCATTCCGTGAAATACGCCTTTGAAACTGTCCTTCCCGATGTCGCGTGCAACTGGTCAGGACAAAACGATGTAAACGCGGATGCGCATCACGTGATGGGTAGCGAAGCTGGACGTATACAACGATGAGTGAGGAGTGGTGACGAGTAGGGATTCGAGGAAGGGTTGGTGCTTTGACCTTGTTTCCTTCCGATACTGCTCATTTTTCTGTCCCCCCAGTTCCCCGGACCCACGATCAATGAAGGACAAGCAATTTATTCTGACCCGTTGTTCGCTTTATGACGGGGACGATAACGTCGTTGTACGTTAATGCTGCCACCGATACCTCCGTGTCTCATCTCTAGCTAGATTCTCACCGGCTCATTGTTGGTTTAGGAAGTAAGGGTGGGCTTTACCTGAATGCCTAGCTCCTCGGCGACCTGTGCATGGTAAATACCTTCTGAGTCGAACTTAGTCTTACTATTAAATTATTTTGATTTCAGGTAGCGGCGAGCGTTCCAAACCTGATAATAATTTTGGACTCACAAAGTGTATCATGTCGAATGAATGTTGCAGCAATCGCTCTCGCCGCTTTGGTCCCTCTGCGTTTGGGTAAGTAATCAATGTACTACTATCACATGGCTTTTCATAATCTTATCTTGCAGCTTTGATCACGAGTTAGTATGCAAATATGTTATACTACTAGTATAAGTTATAGCGCTGCAAACGTTCTGCACGTGGGCCAGCGCTTCGGCGATGGTGTGCTGATAAAGGGGTCTTGATAGCTTGTTGATAACCAACTCCACAACCGCCATGTCCTCCCTTCGAAATGGAACTGTCGTTAGGGATCCGTCAGATGCAGAGCCGCGGACTTCAAAATACTGTGCGTTATCGATTGAACTCAAGCGATCGAATACCCGTGGAAGCTCATAACTTTTCACTTTCAGTTTGCGATGCGGCTGCCGATGTTGTCTTCCAATCATCAGATGGAGTCTTGTTCCGCGTCTACCGATCCCGCCTTGAGGCGAACACAGGAGGATTTGCTCCTGCCAAAATTCCTACCCTTGATGAAGTCGTTGTACTCTCTGAGCCAGCGGAGGTTCTGGAACTCCTCTTTCAATTCGCCCATCCATCACGCCAACCATCCGTTCTGAATCTTGAATTCGATCTGCTCTTAGCTTTGGCGGAGGCGGCGGAGAAATATGAGGTATACGCTGCGATGAATATATGTAACATGCGAATGCAGTGAGCGCCCTCGAGTATGGATGACACCATAGACCGCTGATCCTTGATAGTTTCATAGTCGAGCAGAAGCCTATGGATATTTTGAACTATGCTTTAAAACATGGCTATCCCGACATTGCTAACAAAGCAGCTCCCTTCACAATTTCCGCCCAGTCAGCGTTGACGCTTGCTGTTGAAATTCTCACATTCCCTGGAGCTTTGGTGGCCTGGGTTTGTGCATTCAAAGTATGGTTTATAGATTATAGCGCTGACAATGTCACAATAGATCAAATACTACGCACAATGGGATCGATTCGCGAAGGATTCTTTGGATCTCATTCCGAGAAGCCCCCAGCATAGTTCTCACAGCAACGCTTGGGCTTTGATCACAGCCCGACACATCCGTAAAGTTGTCCTCGACCCCAGATGTTTTCAGATCGATCCAGTGACAAGTTCCAGTGAAGCCCGCGGATGCTCTGACTGCCAATACTATCTTAGAATATTGAACGAAACGTTGACTGAACGTCATCAAAAGATTCCTAAATTCACAGACATTTTGTAGCCAATCTATCTTCTTCATTTTACTTGTCCGAATTACGGCTTCCAACAGTTTTGCTGCAGCTTCCGTAAGAGCAAGGCCATCGGCTTGACGTCTAACGGGTGGACTCGGAGATCAATGTGTTTGTTTGTTTTCATAATTTTTTTGGACATGATTATGATGCGTGGCAAATGATGCGCGGTCTTGGCGCGGTCAAATTCTTACCTCTCAACCCCCCCTACTATCATAAGGCTACATACAACTAACGGTGGAGTGTCGAGGCTCGACTTGGGCTCGAGTCTCGACACGGAGGAAGAGGTGTTTGGTCTTGCTTGGTCCACTATCTCGAGCGTACATTCGCATTCCATCCTTTCCTGAGTTTCACTCGGCACCCCTCAAACGGGAAACCCGATGTATAGGCTTGGTTTAAGATTTTTGGAAACGGGCCGACGAGGAACAGCGGTTTCGGAACTACGATCAGAAGTTGGGAGGTGGCATTTGGGAATTAAGTAATAGGTTCATCCCGTCGGCGATGAGGAACGCCAACGACTCTTAGATGGCATGTCGTTCTCCGCCTCAGACTCTATATTACCAAAAAGTTGACATTCACACAGAAACTATAACGGCACTTCACGTTTCCGATGCGCTCTCGCCACTCCGTTAAATGCGCCTTCAAAAGTGTCCTTCCCAATGGCGCGTGCAACTGTTCAGGACAAAACGATGTGAACGCGGAGGCTCATGTTGAATGTGATGGGTAGAGGTGTTGCACGTATACAACGATGAGTGGGAAGTGCTGAGGTGGAGGGATTCGAAAGGACGGTTACGACGCTCCTCACCTCGCAACAACCGAAACGACATCGACGATGACGAGTTCATCGTGTATCAAGGAAGATAGCAAGGTCCGAACCATATGCTATCTGCAACAATCTCCTCTAACCGCCTGTTCAGCTTTTTTCTCCGCAGGACAATGATGTACACAAGGCCTTCGTGTACCAAAATGAAGATGTACGCGCGTTACGGAAGTATCGTGGAGCAACGGTTGCCTTCACTGCAAGTTTGAAACCGCCGCCTGCTTCTGGTACGCCACGATTGATCCCGGTCCCCATCCTTTCAATAATCCGAACGCCGGGCTTCTTTCCTCTTCGTCCGGACCATGTTCTCACTGAATACGATGGTAGTCTCAGATCTATGGCACATGCAAATCCGGCGGGACGACAACGGAGACGATGACTCGTACGGGTAGTGATGACGTGTCAAGGTCGGTTTCAAGAGTGCTTCGTCGTTGTGATGGCAACAAAGACTGTGACATGGAGGAGATAGGTGAAGAGGGTCAGGGTGGGTATTCAGAATGGTCAGTAGTCTATCAACCACACTTTACAAACTGGCTTACTTACCTTTCTGCTTTACGCGATCAGTTTCCCTCCTCTTGCCCTACGCGATCGCATCCCCGACGTACGTCATGCCGCACCCAAATTCAACAAATTGCAAACCCTGACTACCTTAACAGCTAATTCTCAACCCACGACCACCTCGGCGACCATATCTGCGTTTATCAGAAGGCGGTGCAGATGGATGAAGGGGGACCATAGAGCTGAGGGCCCAGATATAGGCGAAGAGCGGTGTGGTGTGACGATGCCGCTGAAGTGCATACTGGTAAGTCAGTTTCCCAGTATTTGTGTTCTGTGATTGACCTTCCAGGTGCTAGAATCTCTCGGCCCACAGTCATGAACCCCCGCACGCTAACACGTGAAATCTGCTCGTTGTAAAACGAGGTTGGTGACGACGACGACGATTGCGGTTATGAACGGTCATTAAGACGACAAGGAAGATGACGGCATGACTGCATGAGCGGCTGGGAGGGGTGGGGGACAGTTAGGACTCAGGAGGTGTGTGGAATAGTTGGTGAGTGAGTTTACGCTCTAAATGTGCGTTTGACTTACCTTGCTGTTCGCTCATGGCCTCTAGATCTTCGACGAACTCCCAATGTCCCACAACGAACGAGAACCATTCCAAAACCGGCTTACTTACCTTTCCTAGTACACGTTCAGTCTCCCTCGTCTTGCCTCACACGATCACCTCCGCGACGTGTGTCACGCAGCACTCAAACTCAACTCACTCTGTGACAACCTCAACGGCTAACTCCCAACCCACAACCACCTCTACTATGGTATATGCGCTTATCAGGAGGCGGTGCGGATGGATGGAGGGGTACCAAACACCTGAGGGAGTCGATACAGCTGAAGAGGTGTGTTGTGATGTGCCGCTGAAGTGCATACTGGTAAGGTAATTTCCCGCTGTTTGTGTTCTGTGGCTGATCTTCCAGGTACTGGAATCTCTTATCCCCCGACCGTGAAACCCCGCACGCTAACACATGACATCTGCTCTTTTTAAGACGAGGTTCGCGACGACGGCGACGATTGTCGTTGCGTGCAAATCCGACGCAACGACGGCTCATGTGGGTAGTGATGACGTGTCTACGTCGGCTCAAGGAGCGCTTCGTTGTTGTGATGACAACAAGGACTATGATGTGAAGGGGATTGGGGAGGGTTGGGGTAGGTGGGATATTCAAAATGGTCAGTAGTCTGCCGACCACGATTTACGGATAGTCTTACTTACCTTTTTACTTTCCCCGTTTAGTTTCCCTCGTATTTGCCACCTCCTACCTACACGATCATGTCAGCGATGTACTTCACACCAAACCCAAACCGTGACGAGCCTAATTTCCGACCCACGACCACCTCAACGACGATTTCTGCGCTCATCAGGAAACGTGCGGACGGAGGGAGGGGGGCCATAGAGCTGGGGGCGCCGATTCAGGCGAAGAGCGGCGTGGTGTGACGATGCCGCTGAAGTGCATACTGGCAAGTCAATTTCCCCCCGTTCGTGTTCTGTGACTGACCTTCCGGCTCTAAAATCTCACAGCCAACAGCCGTGACCGCGTGAACCCCCAAATGTAGAATTTGCTCTTTGTAAGACGAGGTTAGCGACGACGACAACGGTTGTGGTTATGAACGGTCACAGGAGCATATCACAATGGAAAGGGAGACGACGGCAGGACTGCAGGAACGATTTGGAGGGGTGGGTGGCCATTAGGAGATGTGTGGATCAGTTGGTAAGTGACTTTCGCTCTAAATGTGCGTTTAACTTACTTTGGTGTTTGCCCATAGCCCATTCAAACATCTGGGCTAAAGCTTGCCTCGTCGGATACGCAGCGGTGTAATCGATTGACAAAGCTGTCAGGCGTTGCCGGAGCCGAATCGGTGGGTTGTCGAAGAGCTTTTTTAGACGAGTCATAAAGTTTCTTTCGAAATATAAAATTGCATAAGGAAGTTGCCAAAGGTACTATTCCATTCAAGATCAGGATCCACGCGTAGTTCCCCTCCATTTAATCCAACGAACTGAAGTCAGGGGCTATGACTCACTACACTCCTGTGGGCGCCCATGAAGGCGACGAAGGCTAACCGGTGCCCTGAATATTGAAACTTAGCTATCCAAGCCGCGTAAGGAAGACAAGCGCTCAGGTAAACTTCGTTCGCATGAGAGCGTAGGCAACAAGCGATGATAATGGGGTATTTGTTGACGGTGACGGCTCTTTAACAAACTGGGTATATGGTGTATCGTGCGGAGAGGAGGGTATTAGATCTGTGGCGGTGAAGGTGGTGCGCTTGTTTAGTTGGTCGAGGATCCATCGGACCGAAGAACTAATTGAACCCATTGACCTACCTGGATGACGCCACCCTCCTCAAGGCTGCAGAACGGCAGATTAGATAGATATATTGCAAGTGAAAATGAGTAGTGTAAGATGGTTGGCCAAGGTTCGCGGTATTGACTCGTTGTTGCCACAATGCAAAATAACACGGGTGGCGAGCGTCCACTTTCCGGATTGCGTGCAGTAGGAAAAAAAAAGTAAGATTTTTTCCCCCGCACGTTATTGGGCCGCATTGGATCAACAAAAAATGACGTTAGCTAAGAAAGAGTTTGGGTCAGAAATAAGGTTGCAGTATGCATGTAGTCACCATTGCTACTTACTGCCAATAACTAGAACAAATGAGATGGCGGATCAGCAAATTCGAACAGGTCAAAGTGATGATGGCAACGAAGAACACAGGATACTTACAAGCCAATTTTCCAGAAGAGTTTGTTGCCAAGTAGCAGCTCCATTCTGTAGTGAGAACTTCAGCAGAAGAAATAACTCAAGAGAGAGCAATAAATACCAGACACATGATAGGTGCCATGATACTTTTCCTCCCTGGAAATACCATCTGTGTAGAAAATATCCCCCATTGTCGTTGAGTGCCATGTGGCATCTATTTTCCCCCCATCTAGTAGGCAACTTTTTATATCAACTGGGAACAGACACCATTGTTGCTCACCCCAGTTGTGCTTTGCTTTGATTTTCCTTGTGGCAGTGCTTCACCCCATGACCATCCTAATAAAGTGGTGTGTGGCTTCCCAGCCAGTTGCTGATGTCCCAGTCAGGGCCTGCACTTGCATGGGAACAGGTGGTCAGGACATGTTGCATTGTTTGGAAAGGATAGGAATGGTTTTCGTCTCAGGTGTCATACCTGCTTGAAGACCTGTTGGACCAGAAGCAGCTGTAGGGATGTTGGGTGCAGCTGATGGCGCAGCGGGTGGTGGAGGTCGACTGATGTTGCATGGCCTGGACTGCTGCGATGCCTGGTCTTCTTTTTGTGGGGGTTGTGGTGGATCATCAAAGATGACTGGATATTTAGACCCTACTATGCCAGCAGAACAATGTTATGAGTGAAAACTTGAAATAAGGAATAACTTTACTTTTGAATGTGCTATCATTGTTCGCCATGTGTGCGAATTAGACTACAAGGGTGTGGGCAAGTTGTGAACAAGATTGAATATTGATAAAAGACGAGATCAATTGATGAACATGGTCACATGACGTGACATTTGTTGTACCTTTCCTAGTGTTTGAAAGTTAGGTTAGTTAACCGGAAAATAACCGGAAAATAACCGGACCTAACCGCAACACTAACCTAACCACAGTTAGGGTTAGTTGATTTCGAAAATGGAATAACCGGTTATTTTGCGGTTAACTAACCGTTAAATAACCGGTTATGACCGGTTATAACCAGCCCTATTATACACCTTCAAAACGCACTTGAGAACGTCGAAAACACTTAAAATTTGACTAAGTTACGGTCAAATCTCTAAAATATCACTCAAATGTGTAGACTTTCAAGGATAATTGCATAAATATGTCAATTCTTCACCGATTTTAGCGTTCTTGGGCTCGTTTTAAAGCTAGAATATGCAGAGATAATATCTATCAAGATACATATGAGCATATTTGCCTTGTTATAACCGATTCTTTATTTTTCGGTCCTAACCGGTTAGTAACTGCAAATAACCAACCGTAACCGGTTAGTTGCGGTCCGGTTAGGTTATTTTAGGTTTCGGGACAAAGGCTAACCGGTCTCAGTCTCGGTTAGAGCCCCTGGGCACCCAATAACCGGACCTAACCAGACTTTCAAACACTAACCTTTCCAAACATGTCACAACTTCAACTTCCAACTTCAACTGCCTCCAACTTCAATGACCTCCTCCACCATCATCAACCACAGCAATGTCGATTCCATTCAAATCCACCGGCCTCCTGGATGCCATTGCGCGCTTTTAGGACAAGCTCTGCTCTATGGTCTGGGAGCACACAGGACAGCTCATTCCAACTAGAGATGTGGATGAGTGGTTGAACATTGTCATGAGTAAAGTTTGCTTTTACCTTACAGTCAAAGCTGATATGTTGAAGGACAAGATCAATACTCTCCTTGTGGCTGAAGCCGCTGTTACACCCACATTCAACCCCTTCCTTCCACTCGCCCAACAGTGTGACACGATGATCCAAGAAGCTACCCTCCATTCACCCACCCATTTCACGGCAGATCCCTTCATTGCCGTTATAAAACAATTTCTCCCACTGTCAAAGACAAGCAAACTGGACCTCATGCTGAAGACTAACCTGACTAACACTGGCTGCCAAATTGCCATGATGATGCCAGGACCTCACGGGAAGAGACTGAACGACCTGGACAGGTTGAAGACTGCGGCCATGACTGCTTTGGGGCACCACGTTCCTCCAGATATGCTGGTTGAGCCCGCTGTGCCCAAAGTCATGCAAAAAAGAAAGTTGGAAAGTGCTGAGTTGGAGACCAACAAGGAGGCACCCTTGACGATAGTGTTTAAAGGTTCAGTTCAGTCCGGTTTTTTGCCCTGAAAACACGCAACCGTGGACCGCAACCGGTCCAGGACTGACCCAGATATTGAGGGAACCGAACCGAACCACCTAGGACTGGTCTTTTGCAGTCCATGATACTGGTTCAGACCGATCCAGACCGGTTTTTTTGCGTATAATTTATTATACCAATATAAACCATTTGTATCTCAACCATTATTACTCTGGAAAATAAACAGGTTATATAAAATAGTAAAGCATATAAATACCTGTCATTCTACCAACTTTCAAGAGATTTAATGAAGATTTGACATAGCTATGACTGAAACTGAATTACATCTCCTAGAGACTTGGGTAAAATATGGATTTGGTTATATCTTTCTCAATTCTTAACCGTTTTTGATGAAACAAAAACCCAATAAAAGGCAATAAACGTGGTTACAAGGGTATATAACGCACGTGACCGTTTAACCGGTTGCAACCGATTAAAACTGGTCTCTGAACAGTTTTAAAAGATTTTCGAAATGAGGCAACTGGCAACTGGACCAACCCCAAATTGGGGCAACTGCAACCGAAAAAAAGACCAGACCATGGTCCAGTTCAGTTTGGTCCACCGGTTTTTTGCGGTCCTATGGACTGAACCTTTAAACACTACTTGACGAAGTCAAAAAAGGGGAAAGGCAAGGGGCAAGTCAAGGCGAAAAGTGCCGAGGTTGTGGAGAGCAACGAGGGCAGGGAGGCGCCAGTGACAAAGGAAAAGGGGAAAGCCATTGCATGGGTGGAGATTGATGAGGAGGTGCCTGCGGTGAAGAAGAAAAAGGAGGCAAAGAGGGCGCAAGTCGAAGAGGATGATGATGAATACAACGATGAAGAGGATGCGCCCAAAGGCAAAAAGAAGGCGCCTGAACTCTACAACCTCATCCTGGCAAAAGAAGGCCAGCTGAAGAAGAACTTGGTGCTCCGTTTCCCCACAGATCCCACAGATCCCATCGTGCGACACTCCAGCAAGCCATTGACGATGAGGAGTTTGAGCCACCAAAAACAACCGATCGCTATGTGAAAGAAGCTCGCCGGTTGGAGAGGGATGAGAAGGAGGCTGGGGCATCCCGAAAGAAAGGAGGGAAAGGTGGAAAATGGGGGCCGTTTTATTGGGGCCCACATGACCAACTCGATTTCGAAGGGCCAGTTTCGTTCAAGTACACCTATGACCCAGAGAGGAATCCGATCAATGAGAATGGCATCAGGAGGTACCTCATTGCAGATGTGTTCGCTATGCCATGCACCAAGTGCACCACTATGAAAAAGCCTTACTTTTTTGCTGGTGGGGAGCCGACGCCTTTGGGAAGGTGCGCCATTGATGAACAAGATCTGAACAAGGCCTGCACTTGTCTCGACATAAATGCCTGGGCCATTTACAACTGAGGCAGCGGACCATCATCGACCATCTGTTTTACAAGGATGGTCTGCTCTACAAAAAGTCTACACCCAAACCCGCTGTGCCCAAGGCCACAGTGCCCAAAAATGCCACACCCAAACTTGTGGCGCCCAAAACCGTGGCGCCTACACCAGCACCCAAACAAGCAGTGCCCATACCAGTGGCCCCCAAACACGTGGCCCCCAAACAAGCGGCGCCCAAACCAGAAGCACCCGTGGCGGTCAAGGTTGCAGTGCCATCGAAGCCCCAGGTAAAAGGTATTGTGCCAAACTCCCCATGCCCAATGCTCTCTGAAATGTCTTTGTTAGATTCCACTCCGAAGGCCAAGCCAAAGGCCCGGCCCTCGATTGCATTGCCTCAGACTCTGCGCCCACTGAGATTGGTAAATTTCTTCAAATGAAGTCCAGCCATCCAACTAACCAATTCAATTGCCCAGCTCATATGGGGGACCACATCATCACACTCGAAAAACAGTGCAGGAGACTTGTGGTGCAGGTGGAGGAGACAAGGGAGAAGCTCAACAGTGTCATCAAAGAGTGGAAGGAAGACGTGGCCGAACTGCTCCTCAAGCTGAAGAAGATGGAGCAATCAGTTACCTCAACCAAGGATTGGACGATGCAAAAGGTGATCTTCACGATGGAAAGCCTTTTCCTCTTTGGAAATGGCATCCATGCAGTGCTCCTAGAGTTGGTGACGAAAATGACCGATCTTCTGGAGGAGATGGGCACACTGGTATTGGTGGAAAGCGACGACTCAGTGGGGAAGGTGAAGGAGTTGTTGGAGCATGCCAAACCCAAGTGAGAGGAGATGATCCAAGTCCTCAAAGCTCGACTGCCCTGCGCCCAGGATTTTCAAAGGGGTCAGTCGACGTTGCCCCGCACTGATGCAGGTCCACGTTCGCCCAGCGCAGCAGATGCCATTCACATGGCACCCACTGTCACTGATGCAGCTCCACGTTCACTGGCACAGCACATGGGACTGACATGGCACCCACCATCGCTCCATCAACTCCAGCACCTGCTTTGAATGCACCCTCGCGGCTACAATCACCCATCGCAGCGAAACAGCAATCAGTGGTGGCCACTGCCACTGCTGGAGTTGCACCCGCTGCCCCTTCAAGTCCCACAGCGCCCAACACCAAAGGAGTAGAACTCGCGCCAGTTGAGGTTGGCCCAGGTTCTCCACTTACCGCCATTGGATCTCACCCCACTTCCCCACAAAGTGGAGATGAACAAAACACATCTACTGGACGCAAAAGGAAGGCTGATGAAGAGGTTGACACGGACATCACCAGGAAGAAACCGGCCAGCAATCGGAAGAAGGGCCCACTGAGTGCACCTCAGCGCAGACAACCTGTGCATGGTAAGGCTCCTGATAGCGTCAATCCAGTGACAGCAGGCCAGTCGAGCAAACCAGACACCATCATTGAGGAAGACTTGTAGATAAAATTCGCATGGCCATACATATCTTGAAATACCCTACAGTAGTGAGGGTATAATAAATTTTTTGATGCAGTTATTCTTTGGCACGCATATGCTTTGGCACTCTTTCAGTTCAACTGACACATTTTGGGGTGCTGGCAAATTGAGGTTACTTGGGGTGCAAACAAATTGAGGTTCCTACGTGTTGGCACTCTTACATGACAGGGTTTTGGAACAGCTTGAAACCCAAAACTTGTATTCGCAGGTGTAAGTAACATGTAGCTAGGTTGACTCAGGTGCCGGTGTGAAAACAGGTGTGGCACCTGAATCAAAGGAAGACCCAAAAGTGTGCCAACGTTAATCACTCCTTCCACCACTCTCCATGCCATCGTCAATGACGCCCATGAAACTCTCTTTGACTTCAGTACAAGTCCAACCTCATATCCCAACTTTACCATCTTGGTTGTCTTCATTACATGAGCCACATTTGTGTGGAAATTCCATTATCCATTCATTGAACCTGTTGGGCCCACCCATTTGAAACAAAGACTTTGTAGGGCCCAGACATTGAATTGAAGACAGTAAGTACTGCCAGACATCAGGGAAAACCCCAACTCCAAATTTGGCCTAATGACACAAGTTTTTGGTGAAATAACTTCAAATTTCCATGGATTAGATCAAATTATGTCTTTGAGCGCATTACCTCAAATTACCCCATATTGATACAGTTCCTAAGACTTACCTCAAATTATTTTGGGATTACCCAGGTGCAAGTACAAATTATCTGTGACTGACATGAGTTATCTTGCAGTTACCCATTGGTTACCTGGTATTTTGTCCAATATTTTAACCATTTTAGGTACTGAAATTGCTCCCTGGCTCAGTATATCATCCATTGAAAGGCCCAAAAGTATGATTGATTCAACACAGTACCATAGTATATATAGGGTGCAAGGAACATGAAGTAAGAAAGTGTATAGAGTAAAATGAACATGGATGAAGGAAGACAAAGACATGAACTTCCTATCAAACCAAAATAAAATAACATAAGAAAAGGGAAATGGCCCATCATCCAGCATTTGTAGTGAGAATGGGCCATGCTGTGGTGTTATTGTCCCTCTCCGTTTGGCGTTGCCACATCGCCGTCCCTGGGTTGTTGTCCCCACTACTCATCCATCGTCTCCCCAAATTGGGTTTGTGTTGCTCTGTCTTGCCCACTCTTCGTTGCCCCGATGTTGGTCATCCCCACCTATTTGTCGTCTGTTGTCATCAACGTTCATGGAAAGGCGGGGTTGTAGCTGGCAGTTGCGCAACATCGATATCAACAGGTAAGAACCTAATAACAGAATTGATAATTAGTGAATGTAGGAACGAAATCATGAAAAAAACATACTCTATGGCCCAAACGACATTAGTCATCATATGGGCCTGTGGTGCTGATGACATCATATCCATGTTGTTGTTATCATTGTATGGGTCGGCTGTTGTTAGCATCAGGACAGCGTCGTAAAAGCGGGGGCAGTGGAAGGGTTAGAATCTAAAATGGAGGGTATTTGTTAGTGGAAACCAATGATTTGGCAGTGAACAAACCTACCTGGGGCCCAAACAACGACCAGCCCATGTCAATGAGGGAGGTGGTCTAGAAACAAGGGGCTTGTGAGTATGGCAAATAGGGATGAGGTAGGAAGAAAGCATGCACCGAAAAGGGGGGGGTGAGTTCGGCAAGCGAGGATGAGGGAGGAGAGGGAAGAATTGGGGAAGAAACCTAGAAAGGATGATGGTTCAGCTTTCCATGAGAAGTAAACACAGTCACATGGTGTCGGAGTTCTAAACAACTTAGAACAATTCTCATTCATTGTCAACTTCATGCTTCTCACCAGCAACTTCACAGGCAGCGTTCTCAGCTCAAATTCCCACTTCTGAGCACCCACAGCACATTGTTAGCTACCAAATGGCCACTCCGCAACTTCACATACCTCTTTGTGCTTTACCCAACAAACACCTCTTCTGTTTCCGCTCTCGCTGGTGCAACTCCAAACTTCCGAATGGATGAACTGATTCGGAGTCTTCCAAATCACAGGTGACACCATTGAAGGTCAACCATCCGCTGTCATATGGAGAAGAACCCGCAAGGAAAACCCTGACCTAGTGTTGTGGAAGTTGCGCCATTCCCTAATCCATCCAGGTGCATCTTTTCCATTTCCTCCTTCATACACCACATCTAACGAAACTACCCACCTTTGACTGGCCAAGCTGTCAATGGGCATCTGCACCATCAACCTCTCACACGCCAAACCAAAGCCGCTGCCCAATGTTCTCAGTTCTGCTTTAGGTTTCCTCGAGAGGATGCACAGCCGTCCCATCTGGGACTACTCATCTTGTCGATCACACTTCAGAGCTAATACATGCCAAATCCCTGACAGATTGAATCCTCCACAAGATGTGTATCGTCACTCCACCACACCCCCGCACCGATCTCAGCAGCAGTATCAAGCAACTTCCATCTGTCTTGCTGCATTTCAAAGGTACATACACGTTCTGACACAATGGGTACTGTACTGTATGTAAATCATTCAATTATAATCTTTTCTCAGACTGTGTCCCATATATAAATTTGTCCGAAATTAAATGGCATCAATGCTACAGTGAGTTGTGTTAGCTCAGATTACAAAGGACGGAGGAAGGACCTTTGGTAATACATGATAAATTATGAGAATTATCTGAAATTACGTTGGACTGAGGAAGAACCCTGGTAATAGACAACAAATTATGACTATCTAACAAGTTTTATCATGACTACCTCAAATTAGTGGGTAGTTAGGCATCTTATCTACCAGTTATGGAGATTAGAAGTAACTGGGAGATGATTACCCGAAATTTGGTTTTGGGGTTTTTCCTGATAGATATGTTGCCCATTATTGGCAGGCACGCACCTGTTCAGCCCAGCCATCACTATGGAGGATATGTTGATAGGTGGGCCGAGTCTGCTGGCCCCATATGGTATGAGGTATTAGTGGAATGCAGAGTTGACGTAGTGGTCACTACGCTACATGATTTTGAACAACCGCTAGACATGTCTGTAGCGTTACAACTCTGACAGGTAAACTACCTGTGCTACATTGAGTTGCTACACAATCAAATTCATTGTTGGCTTAGCACTATGTCGCTTATTGAATATTTGATGGCATTTGCTGGCCCTCCTTCCAATGTTCTTCTCTGTGCCTATGGGCTCTACTTGTTCATTTACATGATGACTCGCCTACAGAAAAATGTAAATTCTCTCCTGGAGGCCTTTATCCTGCAGACTTATCTTATTTCTTTAAGTTTTTGAAGAGGTTATTTAAATTTACATGTAGTAGACATCACCAGCTCAGGAGTTTCCGGATTGCCTTTATTTTTGCTCTGGGTGATATAAAATGTGCTCTTAAATACATTTGTGTTGAAATATTTTGACAAAAGGCAGCAGACAGAGCTGGAGGAAATAATCTTTGGTTATAAGGCGAGATAATGAGAGAGTTTGCCTTTTAAGGCAGTCCGGAAATTTCCGACATTCCTTTTGTGTAAGGTTTTCTTAATGGTTTGAAAGTCCGCTATATTACAACCATGAACAAGGAACAGTTTTCGATACAACATGCGTGTTTGGAGAAGGAATCCCGAACTTTCTGTATCATGGGAGTCGTGAGACAATTCCCTAGTGACCACTTGTACTATCAGTGACCAGGAGTTTGAAACGATTTGACCTTTGGCTATATTATGCCACAACCGCTACACTCCGGGCCTCCAAATTTGGTGGGGTTGTGAATGTGTATCTCATGAACATGAATGTTTTTATTTATTTTTTATTGCACAGTGGTGGAAGCTGACAGAGGCTTACTGGTCGTCGAAGTCAATTGTTTTGGGAGATTGAAACGGTTGTCACGGCCAAGTCACATACAACTGTCAGAATTTTGATAGGTGATGCTACTGTCAGGGTTCAAATTTTGAAGCCTTAGATCACGCTTGTCACACTCACAGGACAAAGAATCAAAGTTCATTGAACTGTAAACTTAGTTCTTCGTATTTCTGCTCAAATTTTCGTATTTGAGGTCGCCTCGTTTACTAGTATATGTCTGCAAATTTTTAGAGAGCCTCATGCAAAGGATCGGATTAGATCTTAGAAAATATTTGCATACATCACACATTTTGATGGGCTGATAACCACCTTTCAAAATCCTGGGCTCGTCAGACTCAGTTGTTGCAGAAAAAAAGTTGATATTCATATTGGTGAGAGTCATAATTAGTCCGGAAAAAAATCCCAGAATGCCTGTGTCAATATTGAAGGAGGAAAACACGGATTTCAAACTCCTGAAGCATATCAAACTCCTGGTCACTGATAGTAGCGGTCGCTACGTCACTTTGCATTCCACTCTTGTCAGGTTAGGTTAGTCCATTAGGTAAGGGCTAGGGTCACTGTCATATGTGCGCATTCGTCGTTTTCATCACGATCGTCGGGCCTGAGTATGCTGTTCCCTCCTCCTCTTCCTTTCCTCTCACTTATCAACGACAACAGAAAACACGGTTCGCAATTTGAGCAACGCAAAGCTGCCTTCGAGCAAGGCGCCGCGGAAGACGATCCCGGATAATGATTTTATACCAAGAGGACCGGATGAGAAAGAGGGCCGCATTCACCAAATCGAGTGATATGATGCTTCTTTTTATGTTACTCAAACTAATCAGGACTTTGATACATGGAATTGGACGAGTTTTGCGTATCTTTTCTATAGTAGGGTGTCGACGAACTACAAAATGATCTGGGCTGTGGGTCTGAACTTTACGTTACCTACATATGGAATCGCACTGAGTTATGTTGGCTTCCATTTCCTGCAAATTGTGGGGTTATAAATGTGGGTCTTCGGGTGAGAGTTAATGATTCTCCATAAGTGTACTTCGCAGCATCATTATGCATCAGCAAATCCCGTATAGACTAACAGATCCAAATCAGACGAAGATCCAGAAGGTAGGAGACGGAGATTACCTTTAATCACAACTGGAAAAGACAGTTTTTCAGCAACTTATTTGCTACGACAACGATGAGGGGGGCACTTACAAGCTACTCTTCCAGCGGAGTTCGTCGCCAGATAGCATAGAAATTCTTGAATTAAAGGCGATATATCAGCGTTCTGGAACTCATACCAAATCCACGAATACGCATGCATACTATAGATTGTGCCAGCCCCATTGTTTCTCCATTCCTCCTTCCTCTCAACACCATTTGTGTGAAAGATATCCCCTGTTTTCATCGAGTGCCACCTGTAATCAAAGTCCCCTAGATCTATATGTCATTCAGAAGTTAGCGACAGCAGGTGCAAATTTTCATTTAGTGAACGATGGTGTCACTCACTCCAATCCTGCGTTGCTCTAAGTTTTCTCGTCGTTTGAAATTTCCCCGCCTGCGACCCCGTTGTCGTTTGAGTCAGGGCAATTTATGTTCTAGTTTACTCACCACCAGAGACCCAGGTTGAGGTTGAAATGATGCTGATCCTCGCGCTTCATCTAGCTCGCGCGCGTGTGTTTGTTTCAGCCTTTCTATTTCCTCCTTTGCTTTTCTTAGCTCTTCTCTTGTTTGATGTAAAACAGAGCGGAGTTGCGCCTCTCTGTCGTTCGGGTTCTCATTATTGACTAGAACTTATTTAAAGACTTCAGAACGACGGAAGTCTAGCATTATACAATCCTTACTTACCATTGTTTGCAACCCCTGCACCCTGCACTTCGTACGTTACCGCTATCGGCTGATCCTCCGCACACCCTGGAAACGAATTAGAAAGAAGGGCGATGGAATCGGCGTCGTTCATGGAAGACTCGCTGTCCTCATCCTGCAAGATCTGAACATCGCGGCCCAAGATATTTTCGGATTTGACAAGGTGGTTCTTCAATGAAGCTAGAGTGTGAGGTGGTGGAATAGCGAAAGTGTTGACGCGACCCAAAGAAGGAGTGTTCTGGTTGAAGGATGTTTTTGATACGGTCTCGCCTTGCTCGTCGTAAATATGGTAGTACACTTGCAACGTGTAAGATTAGTTTTGACTCAGCTGTAAAGAATGCCCCGTACCATAGTGTTGCTCAAAATCCCGTTCAAGTAGTTCTTTTGAGGTTGCTGAGCTCTCCACCTGCGATTGTCTCTCATTACTGGACACCAGCGCTATCGGATCGTCAACGGATGAGCCTGGCCCAGGTGTCCCTCGGAGCGAGAGATGAGTAGAATCCTCCAGAGCTGTGTTCTCCGTGAGTGACTGATACAGAGTACAGTTTTCGGGAGCTAGGTCTTCAATTTTGCATAGATACCTCTTTAGAGATGCAACGGTGTGAGGTGGCCTCACTGATGTGGACAAAATGCGGCCGATGAAGCGGTCGTTGGAATAGATGGGGTTGATCGATTCGAGTGGACCGCCTTTGGTGTATAGTCGGTAGTACACTGCATGGGTGTCTTGAGATCAATGATGCGGGTGCGAATGGATAAGAGAAAGTCGCACCGTAACGAACCCCAGGTCTCAGTTGTGGTGTCTATTCAATCATTCAGAAAATGACATATCGCCCAACACGGATGGCACTCACTGGCTCAGTTCCTCCTCGGCCATCTTTTGAGAAAGCTGATCTAGATGACCTCCCGTCTTCTCTGTATGACGGCCTTTCTTCGTTAGTGTGCATCCTGTGGGATAGTCAAGAGAAAGGTCAATGACACAGCCTTCGTGTTTCTCATGCAAATAAGGCACGACCGCACAGGACCGCACAGCATGTAGCTTAGGCTACGTCGCTGACATTGTGTAAGTTGCGAAAAGATCCACGTAATAAGATTAGATAACGTCAAATTTTGATTGATACACGTTTTTCTTTTCAGCTCCACCCACATGAACCTCAAGTCAAGGTCCGAACCTCTTCTTCACTCCTACCACTCCTACTCTGCCTGATGCCCCTCTCAGCAATCATAACACAACCCACGAAATTCGCAGCCCAGCGTATCTGTCCTGTCCAACAATGCTCGCGTGCAGGTCGTGCATTCAACCCCGTAGCAAGCCAGCGCGCCCAGCGTTGTGCGGGTCGGCGACCTGAGGTCACAGTCACCGACCGTAAATCGTGAGAGAGTCACCAAAGGTCGTCAATGGTCAAACGTTCGCAACTTTGCGCGGTGCCATGGGGTCCTACCTCTGGGCGTGTGCTATATCGCACTGCGCGGTCTTCTAACGCTGCACAGTTATTCCTACATCATATTCTGTATCTACCACTGTTCTAGATTCCTCTATATCATGTTCCGTATCTACCACAATCCATTTTGCGTGCTACCTGTGACAGTTGTTCTGCGTCACCGACCTTAGGTCACAGACTCACAGTCAACTGTAGATCGTGAGAAAGTCAAACCCACCTCGAAAACTCAGAAGTGTCTACACCTAAAATTACATTACATAATATATGAGGACACCCCTGGCACCCCGCAAAGTCGCGGTCGTGTTTGGTTGCGAAATGTCACAGTCAGTGACAGTCGACGACTTTCAGAACAGTTGCGCAACCGGCACAACGCTGCTTCTATATCACCAAGACTTGACTTTCACACAGAAACTATAACGGCACTCGACGTTTCCGATACGCTCTCGCCACTAAAACTCCGTTAAACGCGCCTTTAAAAGTGTCTTTCTCGATCTCGCGGGCAACTGGTCAGGACAAAACCATGTGAACGCACACGTGAAGTCTGCTTGTTTACAACGAGGTTAGTTAAGACGACGACGATTGTGGTTATGAATTGTCATTTGGAGCATCTCAAGACGGCAAGTGAGATGACGGCTGGACTGCAGGAGCGACTGGGATGGGTGGGGGACAGTTAGGAGGTGTGTGGAATTGTTGGTGAGTGAGTTTACGCTCTAAATGTGCGTTTGACTTACCTTGCTGTTCGCTCATGGCCTCTAGATCTTCGACGAACTCCTAATGTCCCACAACGAACGAGAACCATTCCAAAACCGGCTTACTTACCTTTTCTAGTACACGTTCAGGCTCCCTCGTCTTGCCTCACACGATCACCTCCGCGACGTGCGTCACGCCGCACTCAAACTCAACTCACTCTGTGACAACCTCAACGGCTAACTCCCAACCCACAACCACCTCTACTATGGTATATGCGCTTATCAGGAGGCGGTGCGGATGGATGGAGGGGTACCAAACACCTGAGGGAGTCGATACAACTGAAGAGGTGTGTTGTGATGTGCCGCTGAAGTGCATACTGGTAAGGTAATTTCCCGCTGTTTGTGTTCTGTGGCTGATCTTCCAGGTACTGGAATCTCTTATCCCCCGACCGTGAACCCCCGCACGCTAACACATGACATCTGCTCTTTTTAAAACGAGGTTCGCGACGACGGCGACGATTGTCGTTGCGTGCAAATCCAACGGGAAGACGGCTCATGTGGGTAGTGATAACGTGTCTATGTCGGCTCAAGGAGCGCTTCGTTGTTGTGATGACAACAATGACTATGATGTGAAAGGGATTGGGGAGGGTTGGGGTAGGTGGGATATTCAAAATGGTCAGTAGTCTGCCGACCACAATTTACAGATAGTCTTACTTACCTTTTTATTTTTCCCGATTAGTTTCCCTCGTATTTGCCACCTCCTGCCTTCACGATCATGTCAGCGACGTACTTCACACCAAACCCAAACCATGACGAGCCTAATTCCCGGCCCACGACCGCCTCAACGACGATTCCTGCGCTCATCAGGAAACGTGCGCACGGAGGGCGGGGGGCTATAGAGCTGGGTGCGCCGATTCAGGCGAAGAGCGGCGTGGTGTGACGATGCCGCTGAAGTGCATACTGGCAAGTCAATTTCCCCCCGTTCGTGTTCTGTGACTGACGTTCCAGCTCTAAAATCTCGCAGCCAACAGCCGTGACCGCGTGAACCCCCAAACGTAGAATTTGCTCTTTGTAAGACGAGGTTAGCGACGACGACAACGGTTGTGGTTATGAACGGTCACTGGAGCATATCAAAATGGAAAGGGAGACGACGGCAGGACCGCAGGAACGATTTGGAAAGGTGGGTGGCGATTAGGAGGTGTGTGGATCAGTTGGTAAGTGACTTTCGCTCCAAATGTGCGTTTAACTTACCTTGGTGTTTGCCCATAGCCGCCAAACCTTCTACTCCCTCCCTATGTCCCACAACGAACGAAATCCCATTCAAAAATCTGGGCTAAAGCTTGCCTCGTCGGATACGCAGCGGTGTGATCGATCGACAAAGCTGTCAGGCGGTGCCGGAGATGAATCGGTGGGTTGTCGAACAGCTTTTTTAGACGAGTCATAAAGTTTCTTTCGAGAAATAAAATTGCATAAGGAAGTTGCCAAAGGTACTATTCCATTCAAGATCAGGATCCACGCGTAGTTCCCCTCCATTTAATCCAACGAACTGAAGTCAGGGGCTATGACTCACTACACTCCTGTGGGCGCCCATGAAGGCGACGAAGGCTAACCGGTGCCCTGAATATTGAAACTTAGCTATCCAAGCCGCGTAAGGAAGACAAGCGCTCAGGTAATCTTCGTTCGCATGAGAGCGTAGGCAACAAGCGGTGATAATGGGGTATTTGGTGACGGTGACGGCTCTTTAACAAACTGGGTATATGGTGTATCGTGCGGAGAGGAGGGTATTAGATTGTCGCCGTGAAGGTGGTGCGCTTGTTTATGTGGTCGAGGATCCATCGGACCGAAGAACTAATCGAACCCATTGACCTACCTGGATGACGCCACCCCTCCTCAAGTTGCGATCCGCACAACGCTGGACTGGGAAGCCCCTCTCGTTGCGACGTGTAAAGCATCTTTATTGGCGCGCACTCACACGCTTAGACGCTGAGTTCCGCTCCCATCATTCCTTTGTCCTTTTTCTCTCGTTCCTTTCTTCCCCTCTCTTATTTTGGTAGACGACCGGTTTCCGTCTCTCGCTGTTGAACTTTTGTTCTTCCACACCGCCATGTCCTCCCTTCGAAATGGAACTGTCGTTGGGGATCCGTCAGATGCAGAGCCGCGGACTTCAAAATACTGTGCGTTATGATCGATAGAATCGAATACCAGTGAAAGCTCATAACTTTTTCACTTTCAGTCTGCGATGTGGCTGCCGATGTTGTTTTCCAATCATCAGATGGAGTCTTGTTCCGCGTCTACCGAACCCACCTTGAGACGAACACAGGAGGATTTGCTCCCGCCAAAATTCCTACTCTCGATGAGGTCGTTGTACTCTCTGAGCCAGCGGAGGTTCTGGAACTCCTTTTCCAATTCACCCATTCATCACGCCAACCATCCATTCTGAACCTTGAATTCGGTCTGCTCTTTGCCTTGGCGGAGGCGGCGGAGAAATACGAGGTATACGGTGCGATGAATACATGTAATATCCGAATGCAGTGAGTGTCTACAAGTGTGGATGAGACACCGCAACGCTGATGCTTAATAGTTACATAGTCGACCACAAACCTATGGAGATTTTGAACTATGCCTTGAAACATGGCTATGCAGATCTCGCCGATAAAGCAGCTCCCGTCACGGTTTCCGCCCCTTCAGCGTTGACGCTAGCAGCTCAAATTCTCACAGTCCCCGGAGCTTTGGTTGCCTGGGTTTGTGCATCCAAAATATGGTTTATAGATTATAGCGCTGACGATGTCGCAACAGATCAATTACTATGCACAATGGGATCGATTAGCGAGGGATTCTTTGGATTTGATTCCGAAGAGCCCCAAGCATGGAACTCACCTCGACGCTTGGGCTTCGATCACAGCCCAACACATCCAAAAGGTTGTCCTCGACCCCAGACGCTTTGAGATCGATTCAGTTAGTGAATGTAGCGGATGCTCTTCCTGCGCATCGTATCTGAGAGACATAAACCAAAAATTGACTAAACGTCATCAAAAAATTCAGAAATTCACAGATCTCTTGTAACCAACCTATCTTCGTTCCAGCTTCTGACCATTTTGCTGTACGTTACCTTTTGTAAGAACAAGGTTATTGGCTTGATTTTTCAATACGACACATGGAGTCGATGTTCGATCAAGGGGTATGTAAAAAATTTGTTTAGTACACGACGTTATATTTTTTGTTTAAGGTCAAATTTGACTGTCCCCCCCTCCCCTCCCATCCTAATTAGGTATCTATTTCTATTTTAGGTGGTCCCTGAGTTCTATTTATATCGGTGTCCTTCCAAAATCCATCCATCCCATGAGGTTCATGCCTGTCATAACCTCAGATGTCATACCAAAGCCAATTATCTGGTTGAGAATTTGGTCAAAAAATACCCATCACCATCCTCAAGCTCAAAGTGCAGATGTACAGAATATTGGGTAAGACAATCATCACTGATCAGCCATTCCTTCAGGCATTAAGGTAGGTTGTGAATTTCTTGAGCTCAAGCATGGGTGGAGCTGTGAGGCATCATAGTTTTGTACTATTGACATTTTTGCATCTCCACAGAAGCCAATTTTTACATTGACTTTGCGTGTGTCACGCAATAACGACTACTCAATGCCGTGGATTCACAGTTTCCATAGTGAGAACATGAAGTTGGACAAGTCAAAGACCTTTTCCTCCTTCGAGTTGTGTGAGAAAAGGTAAAAAAAAGGATGAAAAATGTTCTAATCATTGATGTTGGCCTTCCAAAGCTGTTGGACAGTATCAACAAAAAATTCGTTTACAGCTAACTGCATAATCGTAGACCACATCTGAAATTTCACTTTGCGCCTTTGGTTGTGCATAAACATCCGTTTTAGGCCGTGGCTATGTAAACCATGATGCCCATATGCGCGGGGGCTGCCTATTGCTCCACATTCTAGCACCGTTTCGGTAGTTGCTCCAAACGCTCCAATCCCGCCCCGCACGTCATAAGGGCGGTTGGAACTTGCCAACTTGGAAGGGTGTTCTACCTAATATGGTTGTTTGTACAAATAAAAGCGCACAAAGTAAAATTTAGATATGGTCTACGATTATGCAGTTAGCTGTAAGGCTCAATTGCTCTCCCCCTCCCCCCCTACGTCGTGTCCCCCGGCAAATTCCGACATACCCCTTGTGTTCGATCGATGTTTGTTTCCGTTATTTCTGGGGGATTGATGATGCGCCATCAAATGCACCCTCAACCACCCAACCAAAAGTCAGTTTGTCCCGGATCTGTCGGTAAAGTGGCTTTAAGTGTCTCAGCTCCTACCATCATAAGGCTACATGCAACTAACGAGAAACCTGACTCGGAATCTATAGGCTTGGTCTAAGATCTCTGTAATGGGCAGACGAGGAACAGCGGTTCCGGAACTCACGATAAGAAGTTGGGAGATAGCGTTTGGTAATTGGATTCGTTCCGATGGCTCTTACCAGATGGTATGTCGTTCTTCGCCTCAGACCCTATATCACCAAAACTTGACGTTCACACAGAAACTACAACGGCACTCGACGTTTCCGATGCGCTCTCGCCACTCCGTTAAATGCGCCTTCAAAAGTGTCCTTCCCTTTCCCGGTGTCGCGGGCAACTGGTCAGGACAAAACGATGTGAACGCAGATGCGCATGTTGAACTTGATGGAGAGGGAAGCTGTGCGTCTACGACGATATCTTGGAAATGGTGAGGTGGAGGGAAGAATTCAAAACGGTTGGTACTCTGACCTTATTTCCTTCCGATATTGCTCAGTTTTCTGACCCCTTCCTTGGGCGCATGACCAATGAACGTTAATGAACAATGATCACTGAACGTTGAAACAACATTCCTCGCCTCGCAACGGTTGAAACGACATCGACGAGTTCATCGTGTATCAAGGAAGACAGCAATGTTCGAACCATATTCGTTCTGCAAAAATCTCCTCTAACCGCCTGTTCAGCTCCTTTCTCCGCAGGGCAGTGACGTACACAGGGCATTCGTGCACCAAAATGAAGATGTACGCGCGTTACGGAAGTATCGTGGAGCAACGATTGCCTTCACTGCAAGTTCGAAACCGCCGCCTGCTTCTGGTACGCCACGATTGATCCCGGTCCCCATCCTTTCAATAATCCGAACACCGGAGTTCTTTCCTCTTCGTCCGGACCATGTATACAGTGATGGTCTCAGGTCTGTGGCATATGAAAATCCGGCGGGACGACAACGGAGACGATGACTCGTACGGGTAGTGATGACGTGTCCAGGTAGGTTTAAAGAGCGCTCCGTCGTTGTGACATGGAGGAGATTGGTGAAGAGGGTCGTGGTGGGTATTCAGAATGGTCAGTAATCTGCCAACCACACTTTACAAACTGGCTTACTTACCTTTCTGCTTTACGCGGTCAGTTTCCCTCCTCTTGCCCTACGCGATCGCATCTGTGATGTACGTCATGCCGCACCCAAATTCAATAAATCCAACCAACGACCACCTCAATGACGGTATATGCGGTGATCGCGGATGGATGAAAGGGGCCATAGAGCTGAGGACGCCGATACAGGCGAAGAACGGCTTGGTGTGATGATGCCGCTGAAGTGCATGTTGGTAGGTCAGTTTCGCACTGTCTGTGAAGTTTTGTGATTGACTTTCCAGGTACTAGAATTTCTCAGCCCACTGTCATGAACCCCCGCACGCTAACACGTGAAGTCTGCTCGTTTACAACGAGATTAGCTAAGACGACGACGATTGTGGTTATGAATTGTCATTTGGAGCATCTCAAGACGGCAAGTGAGATGACGGCTGGACTGCAGGAGCGACTGGGAGGGGTGGGGGACAGTTAGGAGGTGTGTGGAATAGTTGGTGAGTGAGTTTACGCTCTAAATGTGCGTTTGACTTACCTTGTTGTTCGCTCATGGCCTCTAGATCTTCGACGAACTCCCAATGTCCCACAACGAACGAGAACCATTCCCAAAACCCGGGCTAAAGCTTGCCTCCTCGACTACCTCCTTCGTCTTACGGATCCTCAACCACATAAGAAATCGAACTCCCTTCGCGGCCACCGATCTAGTACCCTCTTCTGCGCACGGTACGTCACACACAGGTCCCACTCTGTTAAAGAGCCATCACCGTCACCAGATCCCCATGCCATTAACACCACTTGTTGCTTACGCTCTTACGCCAATGAAGATCAGCCCGAGCGCTTGTCCCTGCGCGATTTGAATATCAACTACCGACTCCAATTTAGGTTTCAACTTTCGGGGCACCAATCATTCTCCGTCGACTTCATGGTGAGCGTGTAGTGAGTCATGACCACTCACCTATGGTTGACCTTGATCCTCGGTGGGATAGCATCTATGACTCCCTCTACAAATTTTTCTCCAAAATAAACTTATAACTTCTAGATAGAGTTGCTCTCAACAACCACCAATCCGTCCCCGGCAACGCTTGACAGCTTTGCCGATATTTTAACGCTGCGTATCCGGCTCATGAATCGACTCTAATTGGTTTGAAAGTCTATCGATCTCCCAGAAAACCACAAGAAAATTATGAATGGTCACACTGCCGGGGTGTACAAATGTATGTTTCCAACAACGATTCGTATTTCGACTTGTGCTGACATTTTCTAGTGATAAGCAACGGGGGTCATTGTACGTGCCATCGGAAAGCTCGGATTCGAGTCAAGATGCGTCGAGTTGTTGGCGACGTACCCTTCGATGCTGGGGATCTATTCACCAAAGCAAACACTCAAATCTACTGACTGTTCAACGTGCAGACCTACGATCGTTGATGACCAGTGTATTTTAACGGAGAACGAGTTTTGTAAGACTATAGATATACCTTTGAACAGCTTGATCCATTCCCAAAAATCTGTGTCGACACCACCCCTGCCGACATAACGACCAAATCACGACGTCTTTGTGTGAAATACATTACAGCACTGCAAACATTTTCCACGTGGGCCAGGCTTCAGCGCTTCGGTCATGATGCGTCGATAAAGAGGTCTTGATAGATTGTTGATAGCCAACTTTACAACCGCCATGTCCTCCCTTCAAAATGGAACTGTCGTTGGGGAGCCGTCAGATGCAGAGTCGCGGACTTCTGAATACTGTGCGTTATCGATGGAACTAAAGTGATCTAATATCCTTGAAAGCTCACAACATTTTTCACTTTCAGTCTGCGATGCGGCTGCCGATGTTGTTTTCCAATCGTCGGATGGAGTCTTGTTCCGCGTCTATCGAACTCACCTTGAGTCGCACACAGGAGGATTTGCTCCCGCCGAAATTCCTACCCTTGATGAGGTCGTTGTACTCTCTGAACCAGCGGAAGTTCTGGAGCTCCTCTTTCAATTCACCCAACCATCACGCCAACCAGACGTTCTGAATCTTGAATTCGATCTGCTCTTTGCTTTGGCAGAGGCGGCGGAGAAATACGAGGCATACGGTGCGATGAGTCTATGTAATATGCGAATGCAGTGAGTGGATACTGCGAGTATGGATAAGTGAAAGCAATGCTGACCCTCTATAGTTACATAGTCGAACAGAAACCTATGGAGATTTTGAACTATGCGTTGAAACACGGGTATGCAGAGCTCGCCAATAAAGCGGCTCCCATCACAGTTTCCGCCCGTCCAGCTTTGACGCTAGCAGCTGAAAATCTCACATTCCCCGGAGCTTTGGCGACCTGGGTTGGCACATTCAAATGCGGTTTATGTATTATAGCGCTAACTATGTCATAACAGATCAAATACTATGCACAATGGGATAGATTAGCCAGGGATTCTTTGGATTTCCTTGTGACCTACCAGCATCATGATCACTACCCAAGCGGAAGCAACATCTGGACTTTGATCACAACCCAACACATCCGTAAATTCAACGTCGACCCGAGATCCTTTCAGATCGCTCATTCAGCTGGTGGATCTGGCTGCGCTAACTGCGCGTCGTATCTGAAAACAATGAACGAAAGCTTGACTGAACGTCTTGTGAACGTCATAAAAAAATTCTCAAATTCACAGATCTCTTGTAACTCATTTTCGTTTTAGTTATCCGAATTTTGACTTCTGACAAGTTTGCCGCACGTAAGCTTCTGAAAGAGCGAGGTCATTCAGCTTGGATTACAAGTATTACACGGAATGATGTATGTCCAATGTCTTTGTTTCGTTGTTTCGTTGTTTTTGGGGGATTCGTGGACGCCATCAAAATCATCCTCATCCACCCAACCAAAATTCGGTGTGTCACAGTGGAGACAGCCGATTCAGTTATCGAAGCTCGCGGATGCTATGAAGGCGTAGGGTCTCTGGGTTCAACGTTCAACGTTCAATGTTGGTTGCATATGAACAAACGACTGAACGTCACAAGAACATCATCAAAAAACAATCAAAGCATTCTTAAATTCACAGATCTCCTGTTATAAATCGATCTTCTTCATTTTAACTATCTGAATTATGGCTTCCAACAATTTTGCTGCATTTAAGCTCCCAAAAGAGCGAGGCCATTCGGCTCCTGATCAAGGTGTTTGTTTGTTCCTGCCAAGTTCCTGCTACTTTTCGGAGCTTACTTGCTATATTTTACAATAAAACCGTCAAGACTTCTCTCTTCCCCAAACAACTTATCGTCGGGCATAGCTTGTTGGAATCATGCTTTTCCAAGCTTTTTAAAGGTGGTTTCTACATGGGTTGAAACTCGTTATTAAATTTTGCGGACCTCAAACAAAGTGCGAAATGGTACATTTTACAGTAAAACCATCAAGACTTATCTTTCTCCTGAACAACTTATCGTTGGCCCTAGCTCATTTGAATTCTGCCTTCTCCAGCTTGACAGAGATGGTTTTTATGTGAGTTAAAAGTCATTGTTACATCATGCAGATTGTATCTCAAAAAGTAATCACTACTCCGCCGGAGCAACTTTATAAAAGTTTTACTGCCCAAGCGGAGCTATTTTGAAACAAATTGCACTTCTCCACCAGAGGCATTTGAAAAAGTTACATTGCAGTGGAGCCATTGTTTAAAATATTGCATTGCTCCAGTGGAGCTGTTTTTAAGAAAATACATTACTCCGGCGGAGCCATTGAAAAAAAAAAATACCCTGCTCCGCTGGAGCTATCATTAGTAATTGCACTGCTCCGGCAGAGCCATTTTGAAAAAAATACACTGCTCCGGCGGAGCTATCTTTAGAAGAAATTGCACTGCTCCGGCAGAGCCATTCAAAAATATATATATTGCTCTGGTGGAGCCATTGAAAAAAAAATACACTGCTCTGCCAGAGCTATCTTTAGAAGAAATTGCACTGCTCCGGCAGAGCCATGAAAAGAAAATGCTTTACTCTGGTGGCATCATTGTTATAAGAAATTGCACTGCTCCGGCAGAGCCTACTCAAACAGAACTACCTAAAAAAAAAGAATTGCTGCAGTGGAGCCATTTTTAAAAGAAATACATAACTCTGGCAGAGCTATTGAAAAAAAAAATACATTGCTCCAGCAGAGCCATTTAGAAGATATTTTGCTCCAGTAGAAACATTCTTTGAATTCAAGTTCCCTCTCATATACATTGCCCCAATAGAACCAATTTAACAAAAGTTGCATTTCTCCACCAGAGTCTCTTTGAGATACATGTATGTAGGTCCACAGATAATTTACCTCATCACCCTTCATTAGTAAAATTCTTTTATGTTAGCAGTAGACACTCTCCTCATTGATTGAGTTATTAAGATATACTTTGGCCATTATTTTCCTTAGTTCTCTTTGATATACATTGCTCTGCTTAAAAAATTGTGTTGGGCCACCAGGCTCTTTAAAAAAAAAAGATTGCATTGCTCTGCCGAAGTTGTTTTAAAAATAATTGCAATGCTCCGCCAGGGTCTTCTGTAAAAAAAATTGCATTTCTCCGCCGGGGTCTTCTCTAAAAAAAATTGCATTACTCCGCCGGAGTCTTTGTAAAAAAAATTGCACTGCTCTAATGGAGCTTCATAGTATATATATATATTGCTCTAGACCAACACAGCTATTAGAAAAAGGTGTCCCCCATGCAAAAGTAATGTGTTTTTATTGGAAGGTCCTCTGCTGGTGTATCATATTCAGCTGTATTTGTGGGACCCATAATATATACAATAGTTAATGGAGGCTGCTTGGGTTCCAAAAGAATTGTTAAAAGTACATGTAGGTCTGCAATGGGTCACATTCATGGTGTTTAACTGACTTCTGCAACCTTATTGTTATGTGGAAGCATTGTAGTACATTTACAAGGTACCCCACAATTTGAGCTGGCAGACGATGATATGCATCCTCCCCATGACAGTCCTCATGGTGTTTGAGTGGCTTCTGTGGCCCTATTATTATGTAAAATCTTTATAGTATATTTACAAGGTGCTCTGCATTTTGCCCAAGGTGGGCCGCAATTTGCGCCGTCGGACAATGATGTGCATGCTCCGCAGGAGTTGCTGTCAGGGAGAAGTACGGCTGCCTCAAGCTGATGGGTGATTGTAACGATCACGGCTGCACCAATCACTAAGGGACAGTTTAGAAAACCGGCTGGGCTCATGTTACATGAGTGGTTGTCACATCCGGTTACTACATTAGGTATGGGACATGATGACTAACATATGTGCGCTTCGCAAAACTAGTTTGTCACGCTCGAGTTTTTCAGACATCTGAATATTTCTGTATCTATGAGCAAAGTCATCAAGTCGATGCTGGAGGTGTTTTCCTCCAAGCTTTTGAACTCGAGAAAAGTGAACACTGTCCGTCAGCATAATTCCATCAAGTGTTTTCACACGAGACAATGCAACAAATGTCAAGCCAGTTGAAAATTCCTTTTTTCCCAAACCAAGTTTGATTCTGTCAAGTGTCAAGCCTTGCAACTTGTGAACGGTAACAGCCCACGCCAAACGAAGAGGAAGCTGTGTATGTGACATTGATTTGCCCTGAAATTCAAAGGTTGATTTGAGTGGGGCAATAGGAATAATGGGAATGCCACCAGGGAATCTCGGACGTGGTTCTATGTGCCAGAGAGTCGGTCCCTTGTAAGACTCGCATGAGACCAAAACAGCAAGAGGGAGCTCTGAGCGTGTGGACCCTGCAGCCCAGACGACATCCTCAACTACCCCAACTGTCGCATTGACTAAGCCTTGGCATTGGTTGTGATGACAACAAAGACTACGACGTGAAGGAGATTGGTGAAGGGGTCGGGGTGGGTATTCAGAATGGTCATGGTCCGTAGCCTGCCAACCACACTTTACAAACTGGCTTACTTACTTACCTTTTTACATTATCTGTTCACTTTCCCTCCTCTTGCCCTACACGATCACATCCGCGACGAATGTCATGCCACACCCAAATTCAATAAAATTTCCAAACCCTGACTCAAGCCCTGACTACCTCAACAGCTGACTACCAACCCACCACCTCAAGGATGATATATGTGTTTATCAGGAGGTGGTGCAGATTGATAAAGGGGACCATAGAGCTGAGGGCGCCGATCCTGGCGAAGAGCTGCTTGGAATGGCGATGCCGCTAATTTCTGAAGTCATACTGGTAAGTCAGTCTCCCACTGTCTGTCCTCTGTGATTGACCTTCCAGGTACTAAAACCTCACAGCCCACAGTCATGAATGTTTCAGGGCATTCAGTAGATATGCAGTGGAACCTAAGATATCCAAGTGGTCAGTTGTCCAATGGACCATAAGGCTACCCCAATGGGCCCAATCTAATTTGACATGATTGAACATAGGTTGGCCCAATCACTCCAGACGTTAAGTGGGCATTGTTGGGGCCAATTGGGCCAAAATAACAAAACCCTTTAGAAACATAGTTGGGCCCAATGACCTGTAGACAACATAAATTGACCAACATGAGAATATACCAATGGCCAAAGTTGGGCCCCATCTTCTACAACTAGTAATTAGGCTATCGGGCATAATTGGGCCCAATCTTTTGCAACCCATTCAGCTCCTGATCATCGGCTCTGGAAAACCCTTTCTGAACCGAATTTCAGAGTGGGGGTTAGGGTTAGGGTTAACAGTTCCGAAGAGGTTCTGAATAGGGTTAGGGTTAGCCCTTTGGCCTTTGGCTCCAAGAGCCGAGATGCAAATGGAGCAGCGGTTTGTTAGTTGTGAATGCCTGGTGAATGGATGCATTCATTCACCATCCCCCAGCAGCTTTCCCCTGTCACATGGCTCCTCCAAAAGTCCGGCCGAAGAAATGTCTGAATTTGTCTTTAACATGCTGAATGTCAGTGCTCCGAAACTCCAGCTGAAAGAATACCAGATTTGCATTTAACATGTCAGTGCTCCGAAGGTCCCGGCAAATTTGAATTTGTCTTTAATATGCTGAAAATTAGTGCGATTTTAGGCTGAGCAATGACATTCAGCATGTTAGACAAATTCAGATATTTTTTCGCCGGGACCTTCGGAGCACTGACATGTTAAATTTTCAGCCGATGTTTTCCAAAAATTTAACATGTCAGTGCTCCGAAGGTCCTGGCGAAAAAATATCGAATTTGTCTTTATTTAACATGCTGAATATTATTGCTCCGAAACATCGGCCGAAAATTTAACATATTGCTCCGAAGGTCCCGGCGAAAAAAAATATCAGAATTTGTCTAACATGCTGAATATTATTGCTCTGAAACATCGGCCGAAAATTTAACATAGTGCTCCGAAGGTCCCGGCGAAAAAATGTCCGAATTTCTCTTTAACATGCTGAATGTCATTGCTCCGAAATTTCGGCTGAAAGTTTAACATGTCAGTGCTCCGAAGGTCCCGGCGAAAAAATATCCGATTTTGTCTTTAACATGCTGAATACTATTCCTCCGAAACATCGGCCGAAAATTTAACATATTGCTCCGAAGGTCCTGGCGAAAAAATGTCCGAATTTCTCTTTAACATGCTGAATGTCATTGCTCCGAAATCTTGGCTGAAAGTTTTACATGTCAGTGCTCTGAAGGTCC